TAAAATCTGCTGTGATGGCCCGATCGTAACGAGTAACACACAAATCAAAAGGTATCGCTAAATAAATAGGGATTGCATACCAAGAATTTAGGAAAATTAATAAGTGCATGAGAAAGGGTGGTAAAAGTGACATATTTTTTAAGTGGACTTTTTGAGCTTGTGTTGGTAAAGTAGTACACTTTTTAACACAGTTTAAATTTTATTCAAAAATATTAAAAAAACGCGTCGAATGACACAAAAATTTGCTTGGATCTGATGCTCCGTTCAAAAAGCTACACAAAAAATACTTATTTTGGTATATTGATTTTATTTTTAGTTGGTCGAAAAAATCAATCTTTTAAAAGATAATTAGCTTCCTTGCTGACCAGGGAAAGAACTGCCAGGTTTTCGGACAAAAAATTAGACTTGTAGCCCAATGTACAAATGTAAAAATGTTTCCATTCTGCAATATTTACACAAAACAGGAAGTGAACTTTTAGGTAAATCTTTCTGTCTAGCACACTTACACACGGAGTTTTCTGGTGATGCCCAAACAACTTTTTTTGACAACAAATAACTTAGGATGAGTAGCTCAAGGTGCCCGAAAGTAGGCAACTGAAAGTTTTGTCGAGCGCTGACTAAAAAACCAATTAAGAGCTAAAAATTAACCAGGAACAAGAGCCAAACAATATCAACAAGCGGAAAAACAAAGTCCCCAAATCATCACCACTCCCAAAACCCCCAAATTAACACTTTCTCTAGACTACAACTTTTGACCCATTTTATGTATATACATAAAACATTTTTTGCCTTTAAATGTGCTATGGGTGGACGGCAAGTTGAAAAGTTAGTAAAATGCTCTCGTAATTTGACCTTCAAACAAGTTGAACAAACTCAACACACAAACTCAGACACACAAATATTCGAAAAGAGACAGCCAGAGACAACAACCAAACGAATTCTAAGGGAAAAGTGTAAATATGTAAACGATATTTTACCGGTTGCGAAATTTGAACGCACAGACTTAGAGCAAAGAGAATCTTAAAGTGTTATGAACGGTATTCATTATAGACTATTGAATTCATTGAACTTAAATATATATTAATATGCTTAGTTGTGCAGATAGTTGCATATATGTACATGACCATGTGTATATATATGCTTTACATGGTCGGAATTATTCTTTCTACGTTGAAAATATCTGGTAAATATTATTACGCACTCCGTACTTGTATGGAAAATTATGATACATTATTTTAACATAAGCAATGTCCATAAAAATCAGCAGTCTATTCTATTCCCATCGAATGAGTGGCAATATATTGTGAAAATAAAACCATCTGGCATTCCAAATGAAAGATGACACAATAAAGATTGGAGAGCTAAACAGTTCGATGGGGTCTACATTGGGGACCCCAAAGCATTGCCGACTTTTGCATTTCATTGACCCTTTAAATGGCAAAGATACACACAGATGGCACCGCCTACACACTCTTCTGCATGTCAGTCAAAGTTCTTTCTCTCGGCAAAATGGAGAAAAATTTGATTTGAGGAGTTTATTCAATTTTCTGCATGTGGGCTGTCTACAGCGGGAGCATCTCATGGATACACATCAGCCGCACTCTGGGCATTTAAGTGCACGCCGTTCAACTGATGTCTGACGGACAACCAGAGTTATGGCGAGTGGGTGGCGGAAATTGGGTGATTCAGGTGGGCAGGGGGCCAGGGGGCCAGGGGAGAATGCTCTGAACTCTGCCAATATAATACAATCAACGTTGGGCTTCGATTCGATGCGCATTCGATGCGTTTGCCGCTTTCGAGGCAGTTGAGGTCTAGCTACCGACGCGTAAGCCCACCCACCCATACCCACCCACCCATTCGACCCACCCATACCCACACGCACATGTCCCCCCACCTCACAAACGCACACTGGCAGCCTTGGTTTCTGCCCTCATGTGCAGAGGAGGCCTTTATACATAGGCTCGTTTGTTTCATTCACTCGCGCTAGTATTTTGTTTGGCTTCGACTCTTGTTCTCGCTCGCACCGCATGTCCTGCATGTCCTGTGCTCCGAGTTCCATGTCCTGCACTCTGCCGCGTGGAGCAGAGCACGAGGAGGCAGCTGGGGCTCTGGCCACACATGCGTCTCGTTTGGCCTTTTGCCTGGCACACATAACAACAGCAGCAACTACATCAGGTTGCTGCAACAGCAGCTACAGCAGTAGTGGCAACAGCAACAGAAATGTCGCGCTGTGTTTCAATCGTTTCATATGGCGCAACTGCTGATTGGGTTTGCACAGTGCACTGCAGTGGACAAGATTGATTAATTCCTTACCTATAAGAAAAAAGGACAAATCAATCAAAATAGTTTTAAAATAATACATGGCGGCAAATTAGAGATAACAAAAAGTTTAAATTTCAAAAGTTGCTCTGCTAGCTCTGTGCAAATAGCCATTTGTACTCAGCTTTGACTGTATTGTATCATTTATTTTATCCTGTTTTTAACCTGGCTCGTATTCGAAAACTTTTAAAGTTGTATATATTTATTCGGTAAAAAGGAACGAGTTTATGTCGATTGACCAATCATATATCTATAATCGTCCGATTTTTGTATTTCTGAAATATTTTAAAATTACAATTTCTGTTCCCTGTGTCGATTGACATTGACCGAATAAATAGATATTGCCCAAAAAGAGGTATATGTCATATCTCAGAATACTGTTATTTGGCATTTTTTGTTAAATACAATTTTGCTGCGTAGGCCTATCTAGAAGTCAGTTTAACCATCGAATATACTTTTGAAATAAGAATTGGTTCTATACTCGAATTGTTTGTTTATTTTTTCTCAAGCAAAGCAGATCGAACCAAATCTCTTTGGACAGCAGTCTGAGTAGTAATGAACCGTAGTAATGAGAGTCGATACGATCGCACCATAAACATACCAAAATTGCAAAAACTCCGAAAATGTTTGAATTTTTATATTTTTAAAACTGGTGCTCTAAAAAATTGGTCTGATAAAATTGACTCGGTATGGGAAAAACAATTCATCCTTTCAAATTCCAAAAATTAATTTTAATTCGGGTTGGAAAGTCATATTCTCTAAAATCACTTGAACGCTCCTTTTATGACAAATCCTGTCCATTTATTTAGTGGGGCCAAAATACAACAACACAGCTACACTAAGATCCTCTGGAAGTTCAGTAGGTATTCGATATGTTTCGACTGGGCCCTAGTTCGCTTGGCCCACTGTACACAAAGGACAGTGCCCAAAAAACGCCAGGGGCTGCAATACATGCGTGGGGGAAAGGCGCGAAGGGGTGGGGGCGGTTTTGGGTGAGGGGATGGGAGGAAAGGGGGGTGCGAATGGAAACGTGGACGGCGACGCTGGCGAAAATGGCGGCAGCGACAGCGACGCAGCCTATTTCGGTGGCCAGAAATATAAAAAAAGGGGCGTGCACGGGGAGGGGTGGCAGCTGGGGGACAAAGTGCAATACACCAGAGAACGAGGGGGGAGTGGGAGTGAATGGGTCTAGGGAGAAACATCCACACACACACACACACACGCACACACTGAAATGTTGTCGGAAAAACGAGAGGAAACCGAGTACCTGCACACAACTACAATTGCACTGGGGACTATGTACGAGTGGGATGTCGTGTATGTATTGCCATTGACCAGGACATTCCCCACTCGCTCTCTTTCTCTCTCTCTCTCTCTCTCTCTCTCTCTCTCTCTCTCTCTCTGTGTGCCCATCTCTTTCTGGCCTGATCGCTTGTTTACCAATTTATTTTGCGCACAATACGAAACACGGAAAATGCATGAGTCCACCGGCCGCCTCAAATCCACATAGCACCCATACTACCCACACCCCACACACCACCCACACCACCCAAAAAAACAAGATACGTTCCCAACGAACGAAATGATAGCCACACAGCAGAGCAGGCGAAAAGCAACAACAACGACAAGGAATAGCAGGGCGAAAAAATTGCAGAAATTCCAGTTCGATTTTTGGCCATAATGCAAAAAAGCATGCTGCTCTGCTCACTCCTCTTCTTTGCATGTGCGAGCGAGTATATCTGGCATCTTAGTCGCTTTTTCATTCTGTTGTTGTTGTTGCTTTCCGTTTGCCACTTTGTGCGGGGATTTCTCCTTTTAGCCAGTTTCCTTTCCCGGCTCTTCCTAGCTTTTTTAGGCTTTCCTCATTTTTTGCCAGGGTTTGTTTGCTTTCATATCCTTTTCAGGCCGCGACTTCCACTTTGATAGAACGAGCGCAGAGTTTTCATTTCTTCCGCCTTCTTTGTTGTCCCTGACTTTTGGCAACAAAAAAAACAAGGTTTGGTGGTAGTACACACTCGTAGTGAGTTTTTATACCCCATGTCCTTCGTAGTAGTAAGTTCTCGGGGTCCGAAGTCAGTCACCAGCTCACACGCAACATGTCCAGATGCAAAACAGTCGCTATGGAAATGCAAAAAAGTGGAACGAACGAACTATAAAAGGAATGACAACTGAATACTGAAGGAAAATGGGGCACAAAGGATTCGACACGATTGCTCTGAAAAAAACTCAGTACATATTTCCTAGGCAAATATTTCTCATTTATCGCTTACTACACACTATGGAATTTTAGTACCTAGGAGACACTTTGCAGAAAGTTGGTACATAAACCGTACATGGGTACATGAATCTCATATTTTCTATTTCGCGTTTGAGTTCTGTTTTAACGCTGTATAGTTTTGGTACCTAGGAAACACTTCCAAAATTTGGTACATCAACGGTACATGAGTACATGAATCTCATATTTTCTGTTTCGCTGTTGGGTTCTGTTTTAACGCTGTATAACATATCGGATCAGGCGACTTAATTGTTGACATAAATCTATATTACTCTAGATTCTCTCCACAAGGATAAAATAATGCCCCCAACTAGAGCGCTGAACGAGTTGAGTTTAAAGTTAGCTCCGAGCTAGACCTTGATCTGTCTATGGCTTTAGAAACATATGTCATGAAATCATGAAATGGTCAAGTAACTACTCCTGTTTTGAAATACGATTCAGTAAACTTGTTTGAAGCAGCTCAGCTCGAGTAGTTCACAACAAAACAACAAATTCAATCAAGCTCATGTCAAATATAAATCTGTCGTAAACAATTTTTAAAAGAAGAGAATATAGTTTTGTATAGAATTTGGGAAACATTGTTTAGTTATCTTGAAGACGAATGTCCATTTCTATCATAGAAATCTAATATAACACAAAATGATTACGTATAGCTCATGGTAAAAAGCTGAGTTATTGTAACCAAACATATTTGCCATCTGATGGCATTTAGTTGGCCCTTATTATTTTAACAAATATGTACATTCTCTAGACTCAAGTTACACAACTTGATAGTTATCGGAAACGTAAAATTTGAAAAACCACTGAACCAGACACGTACGAGGTACCTCCAATGTGGGTGCCACTTCTCGCTTCCGTTCTCATCGTGCTGCATCAGGTGCCCTCGACCGCCAGCCTGTTTGACGCCTTTCAAGACCAATTGGTAACGTATCTGCGTCCTGACGAGCCGCACATCCAGGATGGCCAGACGCTCCTTAAAATGCTGTACGTCCAGAACCGCGTCCATGTCTACTGTCAGCGCCCCGTAGCCCTAACTGTGTGGAACGTGTTCCGGAGCAGCCGCTTGCACCTGCAGATCGCCGCTGGTGCAGAGTACAGTCAGTATAAAGGGGCCACCGTGCAGGAAGTCTACCAGGCACATGACAAGCGAACAGAGTGCTACGAGGGAAAACCGCTGGGGCTTTCGGCTGAGGAGCACCGAATGGTCACGCTGGCCGCCCACAGCCACGGCTGTTATGGCATCTACACGGACCACCCGTTCGTCCTCACGCTGAAAGTCGTCCGCTGCGACCTTGAGCGGGTGGCGCAGTTTACCTTCGGCTTCGTCTTGTGGCTGAGCTGCCCGCACCTGGCGGACTCGCTGCTCTGTCTCTACTGCTCGGCTGCGGCCTTGGGCGCCCATCTGGCGGGCGTGGTCGTGGTCGGAATTGCCCTATTGGCATCTGGCGGTGGACGACCCCTGCGACTGAGTCCGCTCAAGGGGAACTTTAAGCAGGTACTCGAAGAGAAGCCTACTGTGATGGTCCTGGCGTTGGTGGGTGGTGCCTGGGCGCTCCAGTCCACCTGCCAGAGATTCAGTTCCCTGTGGCGGCGCCCTCTGCTGCGCTGCCTTCACCGCCGCCTGCTGAGGATCACCGCCTACTGGCTGATCCTCACTGCCTCCGATCACAGGGGCTTCGGATGGGTCTGCCTTACGGTGATGCTGCCCTGGCCGGAACTCTGGTGGCTACTGCGCTGGCTGAGGACCCAATACGTTCGCCACCAACGACGGTTTGTGCCCCCAAAAGCTAGCTCGCTGCTCAGCGAGGAGGAGGAGCTGCGAGCTGAAGGGGATTTGCGCGACACTGTGCGCCAGCAGCCGCAGCAATTTGCCAGGTTTCTGAGCGGTGGCAGTCACTTGGGCGACCCTCGCTCTGATTTTCACCAAATTTTATCACAAAGAAAAAGATGTCATGGTCCTGACCATTGTTCAACCCAAGGAAATAGAAGTTTAAACAGCTCGAAGATTCGTCGTCGACTTGAGGAGCGGGAGCGTCTGGGCGAGGAGAATAACAGGGCCTCTAACTGTGAGTGCTGCACCGTTTCAAATATTCTCAGTCGATCCTCCACGTGGAACTGCCTCAACAGACGCCTTCGGTTGACGCTTAACAGAAACAGGAAGGAGTGTCCAGAGACTTTTTCCTCCTCCAGGAGTTCGATGAACATTTTATACCGCAACCCAAACTTTGCAAGCACCACGGGCAGCCTTGACGATCATTAAGCTTAGCGAAACCTATTTTAACACATTAGAATGGAATTCAAAGGGAGGCAGGCCACTAAGGCCTGAGAATGTATCCTTTTTGGGGAAGTCGGTGGATACCGAAGAGGCATGCAAAAACAAGTAAAAAAAAAATGCATAGCAGGCCAAGACTAATTCCAAGATTTCGGTGCATTTAAGCGGGCAGATCATGTGAACCTACAAAAAAAAACTTATAAATGAGAATAGACAACAGACTGGAAAAAAATAAAAAAAAACGTTTCTATAGGTTTTAAATGTTTATATGTTTAAATTTAAATGGTTATTTACTAAATGTCAAACTTTTGAAGTTGTAAACACACTAAATCGAATCAAAAATAATACCTACTTCCACGATTAAACGACCAACAGATGGATTAAAAAGAAATATAATAATGAAATTAATAATATACAAAATATTCAATTTAAAAGCCCTACAAATACCTTTCAACGTTTTTTATACCCTTACAGAGGTAAATATAAATTCAGTCAGAAGTTTGCAACGCATTGAAGGCTATAAAGTATATAAATTCTTTATCAGCATCGTCCGTCTGTCCGTCCGTTTCTGCGCAAACTAGTCTCTAGGAGCAGTCGGAAAAAAATTATAACTTTGCTGTTAAATAATTTTTTTTATAGTTCTTCGACGTATAGTATTGGTTAAATATTTAAGAATTACGTAATTTTTGTATTTTTTCAAAATTCTTTTTGACTTATTAATAATTTGACAATTCAGAATTACGCTTTTAATTTTATTGAAATCGGAAAACGATATCATTTAGCTGCCATAGGAACTATCGAATAATTAATCTGCAAATCATCATAGCTTCAATGTTTTTAATCATAAACGCAAGTAAATGATAATTTTAATGTTTTCAAGAAGATTTAATTTTTGCAATAGCTGCAAAACTCAGGCAATTGCCTTTTAGGTGTGCAACATAATTAACAACAGGGTCATATAAGAAGAAGTGCAATTTCTATTTCTAATAGTCGATATTGGCTAAACTTAAGTTGCAGTCGTCACAGCACACACCCAGGCAAAAGCATCCCTACTGCTTTTAACTTAATTGTGCTGATTAGCATGCGCCCGTTTCTGTTATCCTCGTTGAAATTTTTGTGCTTTTGACATTCGTTGGCGCATGGAGCTAGAAAATAAGAGACTAGGCTGCATGCACCAGGACGGAAGGGATTGGACGGTGAAGATTGGGGCACAAATGTGCCTATTACCTCCTCCCTAGCAGTTTACCATTAGCCACGGAAGCGGAGGAGCCTGTAGTTGCAGCTGCAGCAACTGGAACAACAACAAAGTTTGGTCAAACGTCAGAAATATTCGTTCGCTTTGGCTATTGAACGCAGGCCAAGCACAGTGCAAAGCGCAGTGGAACCACCCACAACCCCATGCAAGGACCAAGGACCTGTTCGTCGGCCCGGGCATCGGCAAATGCAAAGGCAAATGGGTAAAAAGCGCTTTGACGACCATGGGGGTGGAGGCGGACGAGGTGGTGCTGCAGGGGAGGAGTGGCGAGTGGGCGGAGGACCCGGGCGGACAGTTGGACGGGGCAGGCGCAAAACGCATTTCAATTCGAAAAGTGGAACTTCACTCATTTAGCGGGGGAAACGGCTGCAGGTGACTATCCATGCTCTGACTCTCCACACAAGCCCAATTACAGGGTACCACTGGGGTGAATCCAAATTGCGGAACAACGATAATGGCCTTGCTTATTTTTACAAACGTTACTCTTAGAGTAAAAGGGGGTATTGTATTCGTTAAAATGTATGTGACAGGTAGAAGGAAGCGTTTCCGACCCCATAAAGTATATATATTCTGACTCAGGATCAATAGCCGAGTCGATCTAGCCATGTCCTTCTGTCTGTCTGTCCGTCTGTATGAACGACGAGATCTCGGAAACTATAAAAGCTAGAGATTTGGGATTTGGCATGAAGATTCTAGTGTTTCCTTAGCGGCGCAAGTTTATTTAAAAACGAAGCCACGTATCGTGAAAGTATGTACTGTCACTCTGAGACATGTTAGAAGGTTGGTGTTGATTGTTGTGTGTGCGTTTCAGTCATATCTATCAGACCCAAAAATGTTTAAATACGAGCTATTATTTAAGAAGTTATGGGGTTTATAAAGTTCTCTGCCGCCGCTTAGCCATTGATCGGCCGCTGTTCTGCCGCTGCTAGCAGATGAGATAGAGAGAATTACAGAACTGTTATCGGGGGTGGGGGTGCTGCACGCTCTTAGCTTCTAGTGTTGGCTATGCAGTTCGACAGATGGCGCCACCTAAACTTTGATTGTTTTCTAGGGGAAATACTTAGGTTGAAGTTTATTGGCTGAGTAACGGGTATCATAAAATACAAGATAACAGAGCTCTAGTTTTTTAACTTTAAACTCCCAAAATTCAACTTTAAATAATGTCTTTAAAAATCACATTGTAATATAAATATATATGTATATAAATGAATCAATATGAATTGCTAGAATAAAGAAATATAAATATATGAAATACATAAATAAATATAAGCTATGATGATTTTCAGCTCAATTATTCGATCTATTATATGACAGCTATTTGACATCGTTTTCCAACTTAAATAAAATTGAAAGAACTAAAAAAAAATTTAAAATAAGGAAACTTTTTTTTTATTTTTATTATTCTTTTGATCTGGATCCTTTAAGACGAAATTCTAGAATGATGAACCATTACTCTATATCTAAGGACATTAAAAATATATATATTAAAAAACATCAAAGTTATATTTTCTACTCAAATCGAAGAACGATATCATATAGCTGTCATATGAACTATCGAATAATTGAGCTGTAAATCATCATAGCTCCAATGTTGTTAAACATATACGCATATAAATCGAAATTTCAATGATTTTAGGAACATTTAATTTTAGCAATATCTTGCTTCCTTTCCTGTTCTTAATCGGATTGTTGAATGAAATTAAAAAATTATATATTATTTATCAATTAAACAGCAGAGGAACGAAAATTTTCTTACCAAAACTCAGGAGTTATATAAAAAATCGTAGATGGTTTTTGAAACCCTCTTTAAATTTGTAACTTTTCTATTTAGGCAAACTGCGCTAAACCATAATTTTTTGTAAATCCTGCCAAACTAATGGGTTTTTGAAAAAAATGGTGAAAGAAATGTTTTGCAATTTTAATACGACAAAAGAATTACAGGTCCTAAAAGATTTCTCTAGGCACCAACCTTATTTAGCCGATTAAATTTTAGCTTCCTCTTAGTTTGCCTTAATTTTTGGAGTAAAAATGGAACTAAATCCGCAGTTTGGTAAGCATTATATTCGTAGATGAGCTGGTTTGTCGATATCGGAAAACGACTGTTGCCCATTTTTCCTATTCCTCTCGAAGTTTGGAATATTTTTTGAATCTTCCCTGTTTTGGTGGTTGATTCCCACTCGGGAAAGTGCAACCAGGTGGGGGTTGTATTGGATTTTTGGGTGGGTTATGTTTGGCTTGAGTTGGGTGGTGAGGCGCGAATCGACTCGGGATGGTCGCTAAAAAGTGCATTTCAGTTCTGGTGTCCCGTTCTAGGATTATGGGGTTGTGCACGATGGCGTTAAAAGGTCAGTGACAGGGTGGAATATCATAATATAAGAAACCTGACTTGTTTTATTTGTATTGAAAAAATTAGGGTTTGTTGGTGGGATATTCGTTTCTGAATTGGATTTGGTTTTTTAGTTATGGATTTAAATTAAGCAAACGCCAATATATATACTAATTTGGCAACCCAAAATGTTCAGCAATTAAATAATTTTAAACTTTAGCCTTTTGCTAAACCCGAGTGATTTACCAACCAAATCATTCCTTTTTCCTTAAAATATATAGATATTATTTGCAGTCTATTAAGTAAAGATGTTACTAGTTCCTATCGTACTTCTTTTTTTTACCGTTTAAAAAATAAAAACATTAATTTTTTTGTAATACACAGGTTAGGTAACTAAAAATTAGTAGCTAGGAGCTTAGAATACGCATGTTCGATTCCTACATGCGGAAAGACTTATATTTATAAAACATTTCCATTACAACCCAGAGTATAATTTATAAATTATATTACTATTTTCCGGTTACATAAATCAATGCAAAAATACTCCTGGTTTCTGACTACTAAATAAAATGTATAGTTCAGTTTAATCGCTAGAAAGTTTTAGGGGTGAATAGGCTTTATTCATGTAAAAATATCACATTATGATTCTTTTTTATAAACAGTTAAAATGAATTTATAAAATCCATTTTAAGCATATTCTGTTATTCTGTTCAGCAATGACAGCAATCACTCTAAAGCGTATCGGAAAAAAAATTGAATACATGTTCAAAATTAAATCGTTATTTATCTATTTGCCCAAAATATGCAGATTTAAATTTTATTATTATATGAAAATAACTGTTCATTTCTTTTAGTAAAACCAAAGATGTTTAACAAAACGACGTTACCTAGTAGCTTATGTACATAAATAGTGTTTACAATTTCAAAACCATCTTTGCAGTACTTTTAAAGTTATGACGGGCACCGTAAAACAAATTAATAAAACTCTACTTTCGACTGACTGCGCAGAAAACAAATCCCAGTATAGTTGCGTTTATTGCGTTTATTCATCCTTTTATTAGAGGTTTTTTTTTTATCCAAAGTTTGAGCTATTACTGACCTGCACCATTGTGTTGTATTTGTGTGGGTGTTCCGTTAATAAGTCCTAATCCAGCGGTTTTTCGAGCGCCGGTAATTTCAGCAGAGATAACCGTTAGAGGGAGACGGCAGCAAAACAAAACGAAAGGCAGCTACAACTGAACTTAAAGACGCAAGAAAGCGGCGCACGTGGTAAATTCACTTTTGTTTTATTTGCGTTTTAATTGCACTGCTTGCCGAATTCATTGAATTGAGGAGAACACACGCACTCACAACTGCATTGGGCGAATGGTGGGAGGAGTGCAGCGAAAAGAGCGGGGGAAGCGAACGAAAGACACGCGGTTTCAATTTATTTGCTTTGGCTTAGCGCCTAATTAATTTTGGTCCATTGGAACTAATCGCCGTTCTTATTGCATTGTGCAAGTTTCAGTTGGCAGCGCTGTTTACGCCTCGCCTCGCCTTGAGTTGAGTTGAGTTGAGTATTTGTTTTGATTTTCCGTGCGGCGCACGAACTTAACGCGTTCTGAATCGGTTTATTTCTATTTTCCGTCGCGTTCTCGAGTCAGCTGGAGGAATATCGATGCCACATCGATGCCATCGATGCTTTAAAAACATCGATCTAATCGATGTTTGGCGGAGCACCATCGATGTTTTTCCATCTCTACTCTGTTAGGAAAACGGCGATTTAATATTGCTGTTACAAAAACGACCGTTTTGAATTTCGATGATAACATAAATGTTAAGGTACAACGTTTTCCTTACAGAAATTTAGGTTTTCTCGCTAGAGGTGGGAAAATATATCGTCTTTGAGCTTCCATCGATACCTGCGGAGGGTGTCTCCACTACATGTGGAGAGTGTATCTGCTGAATGGGGAGGGTGTATTCGCTACATAATTGAACAGAATTCTGTTGATTTACTGTTAACGTAACTATTTAAATTCAAATTTTAAGTTAATTTAATGTTTAAGGACTGTACCCAAAATTTTCATAATATTATTATTTTTAACGACTATATTAAAGTTAACGGGTATATTTTCAGTGGCGGCAAAAATATTATAATAATAATAATAATAATAAAATAATATACGTAGAGCACTAATATCCATACTTCTTTTCCTTTTTCAGTCGCTTATTACTTTATTTCTTGCAGTGTGTTTTAAATTAATCGCTAATCCCATGGGATGGAAAATAAAAAAAGGAAACTCGACCGATTAACACCGGAATTGCAGTTTATTTCAAAATAAAAGGTTTATTTCAAAAATAAAGGTTTAGTTAAAGTACTTTTGGGTAAATTAAGCAAACAATTTCAAATTTGGTGAAAATCCTTTTTCAAATACAAGTTTAAATTAAAAATGGGTCTCGAAGTGAACTGCAGAGCTATTAAAATAAAAATAATCAAATTAAAAGGAAAACAGAAAGTTAAACAATATACTATAGATTTAAATGAATGCCCTGCTAATGAAAACATTGTTTTTTGGGTATCATTTTACCAAGGCGTCGAAGAGTGAAGGCAGAATCAAACCGACATCTATAATGTTTCACGAACTTTCAATTACTAAAATCAAAACAGACCCATTTTTTAATGCAAGGGCCTCTAAAATCATTGATGATTTCAGTTTTCTGTTGCTTAAGGGGGTATTCTGGTCTAGAAATTGGAAAAAATTAATTTTCTTTGTTGCATATTACTTTTAAAAATATAATCCTTACAAGATTTTTAAAAATTCGATTTATTTTGTGACGCGGCATCCGAGTCCTTACAAATGTTTCCTAAACTTTAAAAGCGTTTTTCTGTAAACTTATTTTTTCTGAGGTGGTTAACATTATGTTTCAAGTTCTATTGAACCGATTCCTTTGAAATTTGGTATCTATTTGGTATCGTGTCTGCCTCGACTGATTATAAGTATTTTTAAAATATTCGAAAAGGTCGAAAATATTGGTAAAAAAAAACCTTTTTTTTTCAAGTCGACGACGGCATCTATTCTAATGAAGAATTTGTTTGATTTTTTTCCTATCTCTACAAAGGCTGAAATAATGTCAACCAGGACGCAGCGTTTTTTTTAGAAACACACAAGAACTCATTTTCAAATGTTAGAGGCAAAATCATGCTAGACAGCAAACAATTCTGAATCTAAGAACAAATTATGAGTAAGACAGGGATTTAAAGTAGGAGCTTAGACAGGATAATCACCTTAAACGCGAGTAAGCTCTGATTAAAAAGTTTTCCCAGGACAAAAGAATTAATATTTTGCTCCAAGATTTAATTTAAAACTTTTAAGGGGTCCTTAAAGAAGAATTCTTTATTCTTAAGTCCGAATAAAAGAATGAATTGTGTGAAAAATTACAAAAAACAGAGTGGTGTGCCAGTAATCACCAATTTTGTTCCAATCTGTAAATTTAGTTGCTTCGTATAGTGTAGTACTAAATATAAAACAAATCACTCATACAGTTTAAACAATTGAAAAAATACTGTGTTTTTAAAGTTTCTATTATTTTGTCCACGGGAAATTACTTATTTTAATTTTTGTGTTATTAAAAGATGAAATAAAATCTTTTTGTTTTTTTTTTAAAAAAGATATCCTTAAAAATGTGAACAAAAAATAATGAAAAATGTTTTTAATTCTCTTTGTGAGAAACAATTGAAAAAATGGAACGATTTTAACGAACGATTTATATATATATATACAACAAAGTCTTACGTTTCTTTAAGCATTTTGCCTAAGACAGCTATTAGTTAAAGTCGTCTGATCTTTCTAATTCCGACCTATGTAATAGACTAACGATTGAAAATAGTTTTTTTTTACTTTGCTTAATTAATTTTGTATTAGCATGGTCTTTTTTGAACCAATGGTCGCCGGAATATATATGCACATACTCGAAACACGAACGCTTCACACTTTCGAACGGCCAAAGTTGGCTTAACACCTTAGCAAACGCACTGAAGAGTCTTCTTAACCATTTTCTATTATGCATCTCTCTACATTTTCGATTCTATCCGTTTAGAGGATTCCAGTTTGGGAGCGTTCTATCAGGTGATTGAGTGCCAACGGCTGCCAGTTGCTGAAGCTTCCATCGCTGACCATGCAGACGTGGCGATCGATGTAGCAAAAGAGCTTTCCCACGCGATAGATCTGCGAATGAGAATCGAGAATCGAAAGATGGCAATTAGCATGGGAGGATACGCTCCTCAGAAACCCATTTCCACTCACCTGCTTGCCCATCTCACGTCTCCCCGGAAGAGGGGCAAAGATGATGCCCAGGTCGGCGCACTGCTGCGAGACGAGCTCCTTGAACTCCAGCTGGGCGGGCGGATGGATGAGGTCCATCATCAGCACGGGGGCGGGCGGCACTGGCGGCGGGGGCGTGGCCGAGACAGTGGGCTGCAGCAGGGCATCGCTGGCGCGATGCATCATTTCCAGGGCCCGACGCAGATGCTCCTTGACGCTGGGCTCACGTAGGATCGCCTCACTCAGCATTCCCTTCCAGCCGGTGTACCAACGCGATATCTCGGCGTAGTCGGGCGACTGGTTTAGCCAGACCACGAGCACCTGCATCCAGCGCGGGAAGAAGTGCCTGTCCAGCAGCTGGGCCATGTAGATGGGCTCGATGAGCGTGTGCCACTCCCAGACTTGGTGCCACAACTCCAGATCCTGATGCAGCGGATTGATGACAAAGTCGGCCAGTGTGGCCTGCAGCTTGGGCACGATGTGCCGCTGCAGAAACTCCTGCATCTCCTCGGCGGGAAAGGCCTGCTGCCAGGGCGTGAGCATGGCCCGAGCGGAGCGATCCTGCGGCGACCAGGCGCGCAGCGCCACGCCCAATTTGCAGCGGATCTGCGGATAGACGGCCTCCTCCAGCTTGCTGCCCAGTATCGCGTGCCACGGCAGCACCCAGCTGTCGATGGGCACGGTGTCGGTGAGCGGATCCCAGTCCTGGACGCCGGCGGCCAGGCGCGGCAGCACCAACTGCTCCAGCACCGAGTCCAGCACCCAGCTGGGCAGCAGGGGAGCCCACGCATCCAGCAGGGCGGCCATGGCCGGATGCTCCTTGGGTTGCCAGGCGGCAGCGCTGGCCCGAAATGAGGGCATCACTCCGGCCCAGATCAGCGAGGAGTACGGATCGAAGACGTTGCGCGGTTGCTGCTCCGGCGGCTCTCCTTGCTGCAGCATCGAGCGCCACTTCTTGACCAGCTGCAGCGGCTCCGTCGGCTGCTCCAGCGGTCGCCAGTGCAGCAGTTCGCGCTTGAGGAGCGGCGCTATTACGCCCGCCGCCAGATCGGCCAGGCCGAACTCCTGGAACTCGGCTGTGTAGTCCTCGAGGAGCTCGCGAAAGAGTCGCTCCGCGTGGGGTAAGGTCAAGTCCGGATTCTCGCTGAGGCGCTCCACTCGGTCCAGTGACTCCTCCAGCGTGCGAATGTGATTGCGCTCCAGCAGGACGATCTCCTCCAGCTTGCGGTGCTCGCTCTCCAGCGCTGCCTGCTGGCTGGCGCACTCGCGCTCCTGGTTGTCGATGGCGATGATCTGCTGCTCGCACTGGCTAACCAGCAGCTGCAGATTGTGCGTCAGTTCGGGCATGGCGAACACGCCAACGGCGGCCACACCCTTCTCCGTGGGTTCAGCATCGTAGAGCGTCTCCTCCGGCGTTATTTTGGCCTGGCCCAAAGCATGATAGCCACTTAGGACGCGCCGTTCGGGACCCGTCATGTCGATCACCGGCACGTTGCCCAGCTTCTTGCTCAGCTTCTGTGAGAGCAGATGGCTCGAGGTGTTGCCCTTGGCGATCACCTCCTCCACGGACTTGTAGTAATAGCGCCCTGCCTTGCCCTGCCGCTCCTGCGGATCGGATCCAGTCCCAGTCGCGGTCGATCCCTTGCGCCACTTGTTTAGCTGCTCCTTGAACTCCTTGGCCTCGCGCACGTCCTCGTCCATCTTGATGCTCTTGGCAGCCTGGCCGCCCACGCTGGCGGCTGTCTCGGGTCCATAGGCACCGATGGCACCTCTGCCCTTGCGCACATGAGCCTGCACCGGCTGCGAGATGCCCTGCAGGTCCTTGCCCAGTCCCTTGCCCGGCTCATAGCCCATCTGGAGGAGCAGCTTGGCACCGATGCCGCGCGTGTGCTGCTCCCAGGCGCCCACGTTCCGCTCGCCGGCGATGTGCGAGCGGTGCTGGAAGGTGGAACTGGCGTTGGCCGGTTTCCGACTCAGCGATGGTCGCTCCTCCTCCGCCGAGCTGTTCGAGCTGTCCGGCTCACTCTGGCCAAAAGCGGCACGGACTCCGCTGGCGGCGGAGTCGTCGCTCTGCTCTTCCTGATCCGCTCCAGCCCCGCCGCCTTCCTCATCCTCCGCTTTTAGGGTCGATTTCTTGCTCTTTTTGCCCGCCTGCTGAATGCCGCCGGCCACAAAGTTGACGGGCATGGTGTAGTCCTTGGGCTTCCGAGCGGACCGGCCCCTCCTGCCGCCCCCGCCCCCCGGCCTCGCCGCCGCTCTCCTCCTCGCTGTCGTCGGCCCAAATGCCTGCGAATAGTGGTCTGTTTACTAACCAAATCTGGCCACAACTTACTTTCCACTGCGCTACTCACCGTAGATCTGTTGGTGTCTGCTGTGGCGTCCACGAGGCCGGTTCATGTTGAACTCATTGTCCAGATCGTAGTCCGTGATTTCGAAGCGCTCGTACTCGTTGTCCGACATCGTTTTAGCAATTTGTTTGCAAAATTCCGTAAACAAAACGCCGCATTGATAATAGGGATGGGACTTGGGCTATTTCACTTGCCTGAACACAATCGTTAAAAACTATCGATTACCATAGCTGGGCAGAATGTATATCGTATTAATATCGTATGACCTGACCATTATAGCCTAGTTACACCTATCCACATCGGACCATCGCAATGACGCCGAACTGCCGTTCACACTAGGCAGACGAGAGTCTATGCTTCTGCCAGAAGGAAAACTACGTTTTTTTTATTTTGTTTGGAATTAAAAACTAACAAGCTTACAAAAATTACAATTTTTAGCAAGGTTAACCTCCGCATAACTTAAAACATTTATTTATCCGAAATGTTTGCACTGACTATATATGTGAGCTTGCAAAGGCTGCCTTAAAGGCTTTATTTATTAAAAGCCTAGAACTCAGATCGACGAAACCCGTTCGTCAGCTATGAAAGAGAGCGAGTGGCAAGTAATGGGCTTATGACACTAAATTGCTGGCCATATTCATTGCAAATTTTATTTTAAGCTATACGATTTGACGTAAGCGCGTGTAGGACAAACATATGACGATTCCAATGAGCAATGAGTGAAGAATACTAGAATAAAAATACTAGATGGAATTGGGTGAAAAAAATACCATTCGATAAAATACCACCGTGGCCGATATATTAATGGGCAAAACTGTATTTTAAAAGTACAATTTTGCTCATTCTATGGAGGCGAGGCTTAAATGTATACGATCTTTTTTTTAACATTTAAAGGTAACAACTGAAAGCCTTTAAACGTTAAAATTAGCGGTATAAATACAATATAATAAACAAAACAACTTAGTTTAAACTTAACGTTCACAAGAACGAAGCTAACTTGGGCAAGACGAAGTTCATATACCTTTGCAGCTATTGCAAAAATATGCAATATTCTTCAAAACATTAAAATATGATTTACTTGCGTATATTTTTAAAAACATTGCAGCTCAATTATTCGATAATTCCTATGACAGCTTTATGATATCGTTTTCCGAATTTAATAAAATTAAAAGCGTAATTCTGAACTGTCAAATTATTAATAAGTCAAAAAAAAAATAAATAAAAAAACTAAAAAATAGAAAAGTTACATTAAAAAAAAATTTTATTGTTTCCATATGCTATATGCTATAGTCCTCCGATTTTGATGAAATTTGAACCGTAATTTTGAAATATTTAACCATTACTATATGTCAAAGAACTAAAAAAAATGAAAAACAGAAAAGTTATAATTTTTTAATATTCATTCGATTGTTCCTATGGGAGCTATATGCTATAGTCCGATCCCGCTTGTTCCGACTTATATACTACCTGCAATATAAAGACAACTTTTGGGAAAGTTTCTTGCAGATAGCTTTAAAACTGAGGGACTAGTTTGCGTAGGAACGGACGGACGAACGGACAGACGGACATTGCTAGATCGACTCTCCTAGTGATGCTGATCAGTAATATATATACTTTATAGGTTTCCTTCACTGCGTTGCAAACTGCTGACTGAAATTTAAATACCTTCTGAAAGGGTAAAAAGCGCACCAGATTTAGCCAATTATCCGACCACTTTTGTCAAAAACAGTTGGCCCACTTACAGTAGCGTTATCAATTGATTGTGGCTAATAAATCGATATGATGACAGCGATTCTGGCCTGATAAGTGGATGGATAAGATTATCGTACATACTTATCTTCGCTTCGTGCAGGTTCGATTTCTTAGTCAACTTTAGTCTCCTCTAATCATTCGCCATTGATCGTGGTAACTGTTGCCGAGTGTTTCTAGTTATTTACTTATTTCCTTTAAATAAATTAAATGTATGTTGCAACATCGTGAATGGTAAATGCTCTGCCGACATGACTATTTTATGTTGCTTGTAGTGAAAAAAGTCTAGGATAGCTGTGTCTTAACAAATTTATTTACAGTAGATTTTGGAAGATTATTCTTAATCACGTCAAAATGTTATATCATTGCACAACTTAAAAATACATTTTGTTTTCGTGTAAAAGTGAAAATTCTCTTTAATTTTATTTTACAAATCCTAATGGTACTGGAAATGTCGCAACTACAAAAGTTATCGGAGCACTTTACAACCAATTTCGTGCTAATGTGCTAACCTATACTTTTAAAGGCAAATGTGAACTAAAATAATTAATATTAATATCTGCTCAAGTTACACAAATTAATTTTTTTTAAATCAATAGACTAGTGAACAACGATGTAAGTATTAAGTTGGGGAAAAGTTCCATAATACCTTGTTGTTCAATATATCTAAGCCGACGAGTTTTAAATTTAACGTTTCGTTATTATTACTTTAATATGCAACATTTTATTTCGATACTTTCCAAAATGTTAAGCAGTTACGCATCTATAAACAAACTGATTTCTTAGTTTCTAGTTTTTTTTTGGTGTTTAATAATTTAATTTTTAATAAAAATAAACCATTTTTTTGTTATAACTACAAATTGCTTGAGCAACAAAGCTAGGATTTGCCAAATCACTAAATTACATTTGTATCCCTAAACGAGTTTGTTTTTATCAGCGAATATAAATCAAGTTCATTTTTACCACGTGAAAAAAGGTATTCCTCTTCATTTCTGGTCAACCCCATGGTCAGAACATTATAGACCATCGACAGCACTTTTGTGTGATTTTATCAGATGAGTAAAATAATAATTAGGGATTATACAATGAGTAAGGTAAATTAGTAAACCTAACCAACCAACAGCTCTTCTGCTTTCGCCTTCTGAATTCAGTTCACTACATATTCCCATCAACGAAAGTGTATTAATGTTGTTCGGAATATTTTTTTGCTTATAGCTTCATAGCTCATGGTGGATTGTGAACAAAGAAACCCATTACTCGAGGTCCAAAACTTAGCATGGCCTCGAAAAGCTCTTGCAACAGAAGACATGTCCGTCTTCTGTGCGTTCTTCTACTACTCGGTCTAGCCCTTATGCTCATTTGGGGCAACTTGCAGCAGGCTCATAAGCTTGTCCACACACCCAAATCCGATGGCCCGAAACCGCAGGGGTCGCCAGCTTTACACGCTGCATTCCAGCTGGTGAATGTGGAACCATCGAAGATTCCCAGGCGGGAGGACTCTCCCCGCACCAAAGACCTGCAGCTGTTGCTGAAGTGCCGGAATCGATCCCTCAAGTTCCAGAGACTGCAGCATGGGGAGTTCTGGCTGCTCCAGAACCTGGTCATTGGCCGAAGGAGTCGTCATGTGGGCTGCGCCGAGTCTGTAACGTACACCACAAACGGGGACTACACCTTCTTCGACAATCTTGAAACGGTGGTCTTACGGTAAGTGTTCTGCAATAAAAGTTGGTTATCATGTTGACAGGTTGAACCCCTTGATTAGTACCACTCACATTATCGATTACGTATTGCTTGACTTTTATTCCATTAGTCGGAATCATGGCTAAAAATCATTTTAAAGTATTATGTAATGACTTCTATTTACTATACCATCCTACAATACTGGTCAAGCACTACGACTTTATTATTGGAAGGCCTACTCGTTTGTACTGATTAAGGTCCAAAGGGAAAAGAGGTTAAAGTTATTTATAAGCACGGCAAGCCGAAGTTTATACACCATTGCAGCTATTTGCAAGATTAAATATTCCTTAGAACATCTTAATTTCAATTTAAAAGCGTTTATGCTTAAAAACATTAAGGTCGTAACGAATTTTAGATCAATTCCTGTTGCAGTTATATGAAATAAAATTAAAAGTGTAATGCTGAAACTGTAAACCATTACTATGTTCAAAAGAACTTAAGAAAAAATTTAAAAAATAGAGATGTTACATTTTCCCATGTTATAGTCGGCAGATTTTAATGAAATTTAAATCGTAATTTTGAAATATTTAATCAATACTATAACACGAAACATTAAAAGACAGCAAAGTTATAATTTTTTTCATTTACTCTTCCGATTGTTCCCATAAGAATCCAATCGAGCTCTTTCCGACTTATATACTACCTGCAATAGAAAGACAACTTTTAGTAAAGTTTCATGCTGATAACTTCAAAACTGAGAGACTAGTTTGCGTAGAAACGGACGATGATGATCAAGAATATAAATACTTTATAGAGGCGGAAATGTCGTTTTCACTGCGTAGCAATCTTTTGAAGGGTTGAAAATAGAGTCGAATATTTTTTTTCTGGTATCTTTCTGCCAGTATGCATTTTTTTAAGTGTTTTGCTATGCGTTGTGATAAGTGTTTTGTTGAGTGTTTTGTTATGAGATTTGCTCAGTAGCCAAGTGGCATCTGGAGGTACAAGGCCACCCAACAACAGAACAACTTATTTTAGCAGTATGGTGTAAAGTAAAGATTTAGCAGTTCTGACAACCATGTGTGAACCCTTCGAGAGGCAACAAATTTTGCCTCAGTGTGGTACAAAGGACAACTATTTTATTATAGCTCCTTTTCTTGTTTTATACCGATCAAACATTATTTGTGATAATTTCGCGTTTAATTTGCAGTTGGCGTGCTCCCGTGAGCTTCGCCATCCATGCGCCTGGATACGATCTGAATGCCACTCTGGATGCGATTCGGTATGTCCGAAACTGTCTGCCGGGCAGCGAGATCATCAGGGACTGGGCCACCTTCCACGTGTACTTCTCCCACCAGCACATGCCCGACTACGTGCCACATGACGAGGCAGAGGTCCTGGGAGTGGCGCCCAGCTGCACCCAGGCCAATGGATCGCCGGTTCCGCCGCCCTACACCCTGGTCCCTCGCAGCGAGAGCTACAAGGCCAGGGCCAATCTCACTTACCCCATCAACGTGGGCAGAAACATAGCCAGGCAGGCGGCCAACACACACTTCATCTTCGCCTGCGACATCGAACTGTATCCCAGTCTGGGCTTTGTGGATCAGTTCCTGGACATGGTGGCCAGTGACCACAGAGTCCTGGCCCTGGACCCCCGGCAGCCGAGAAGGGTGTTTCCCCTGCCCGTCTTCGAGGTCGAGGCGGGAGTCCAAGTGCCCGCCGACAAGGCTGAGCTGCTGACCCTCTATCGCAACCAGCAGGCACAGGTGTTCCACTGGAACCTGTGTCGCACTTGCCACATGATTCCCAGGCAACAGGAGTGGCTCAATCAAACTTACAGCGGAGATCGGCTGCAGTTGTTCAGCAAAACCCTGCGGAAAAACAAGTTCCGTGCCTGGGAGCCATTCTACGTGAGCGACAACACGGAGCCACTGTTTGACGAGCGGGTTTCCTGGGAGGGAAGGTCGAACAAGCGCATACAGGTGGGTAGAAGTTCCTTGGAGACCTGGAGGCCTCCACAGAGAATGCCTTTGTAACATTGTTTGCGATATAACCCCCTTGCCAGATGGTATTACAACTTCAGTCTATAAATGCATCGCAGTGACGAAAGTTTTTATGTTGCTGATTACTAAGAGAGTCGACCTTGCAGCTATTATATAAATAAAATATTTTACAAGTCGACTTATTTCAATTTATATACGTATGTATATGTTGAAAAACAATGAAGCTGTGTCGATTTTCCGATGACTTTTTCGATACTTCCTTTTGCACAATTATAAAATTAAAACCGTAATTTTTAAATAAGAAAACAATCCCTATATATCGGTGTACATCTATTTTTCCGTTCCGTTCCAAGTAATATAGCTATATACCTTGAATAGAAAACTATGTTTTGGGAAAATTTCATTCATCACGCTGACAGACAAACTAACAGACGGACGGACGGCCAGACGGACATGGCTAGATCCACTCTCCTAATAAGACTGACTCCCATGGAAAGAACAAAAATATTAATTTTTTTTAATTGTAACTTTTCTATTTTGTAATTTTAAAAAAAATTTTTTTTTTAACTTAATAATTTAACATTTCAGAACTACGCTTTTTATTTCATTAAACTCGTAAAACGATATCATATAGCTGCCGTAGGAACTATCGAATAATTGAGCTGCAAATTTATAGGGTCGGAAATGTTTATTTCACTGCTTTGCCCTTTTACCCTAATTTTGACCTAATATAGATAATTGTCCATATTCATATTACATACCTTGCATCAAATAACCTTTTATTATTCTGTATAAGTACACAATATAATAAATAACTTAGTTACATTTAGAACTCTTCGCTAACAAACATTTTCGCTTAATTTCAGAACTATGCCATGTGCCTATTGGGCTACGAATACCACGTTTTAAGTCCGGCATTCCTAGTGCACAGTCCAGGGATCAAAAAATTCACCAAAAGTGATTCTTCTCGTCTCAAATTTGCGAAGGAGATGACAAAATTTATCAAGGACAAAATCGAGCCCGAGTATCGAGTGCTGTTCGGACAAAACTCTGCCTGCACGACGTGACATCAGGCTCATTCAGCCGATAAAGGAGTATTATTCTTAGCTTTAGCTTTTTGTTATTTAGTTAATTTGTTATATAGCTTAAGTTTTGAGATGTTAGTTCTCATAACATCTTAGTACAAAGTTGATTATGAAGCAGAAAAGTACAATTCTCTGAAGGAACACTTCAACGACTCAAAAATAAATAGTTCAAGAGGAATAATAAGACTAAACATAAATGCTTTGCGACATTGCTTTTTATTTTGTATAACTCTTTTTTACTTTATTTACACATAAAAACTCTGCGGCAGCCTTATTTTTATAAGCCTTTGTAGAAGGTATTACGAGGATTGTTCATAAAGTATCGCGAATTTTGAATTTTCGCGGGCTACGTATTTCGATTTTTGATTGCTTTGTTGCGTTAAGTTTTTACCCATTTATTTATGCTGACAAGCTCGGCAATTAGGAATCGATTTTTGCTTATTTCTTAATTCTTATTTAAGTAACATAACATAACAACATAATACTTTTTGATCAAACCTTCTATTATATTGATCAGAAGGTTTCAACACACTAATGGAGAAATCAATGAGAGGATACTACCATTTCTTTTAAAGTGTAACTCTTTCCTTGTGCGAATAATCTTCATTAATAGCGTTGCGTAACAAAACGTTCGATATAAGCTCTTGCCTCTGGAAAAAATCAGACGAGACTTCATGAGGCTGTTTTTGTATGATGTCCTTATCGGTTATTTTGTCCTGCCACCATTTCGACTGCGGATTGTCCCACAATTTTTGTCCTGCTATGGGCATAACATAAATAATTATTGGTTGTTGTGGGATCGGATAACTTGGTGCCATTTCTTTGTGAGGCATTCCATTTGTGTTGGGACTCAGCGGGTCGGCGCCGTAAATTCTCTGGTACCGTTCACTCCACACCAGAAACATAATTTGCACAAAAGCAATCAAGAGCAACGTATCATAGGCCACAAGCACTGAAAACAAAATTTTTTATCAACGATGTTGTTGTGCGATTCTGATTCTTACTTGCATAAAATGTCAGACCGAGTGTTATCAGAATTAAGGTAGCCAGGGGTACGATATGTCTGGCTATCCGAAGGGATATAACAGTAAACACAACTACTTGGACTGTGTAAAAGAACTCCAACACCGCCAGGGGAATAACGTGGTACTTTTTGAGCTGCGGACAAGGAAAAAATATCAGTCAGTTAAAACAAGTTCCGAAAATACTCGTTACTCAGCTGTTAGTTTCAAAAAACAAATTCCTCCCGAAAATTGTAGATGCTTTGACAACACCACAAGCAGCGAAAGAGCTTAAGATAATCGCATTTAAAATAAAAAAATATATTTGTAGAGTTAAAGGTTTGATTTGCACCCAGCAGTATCTAATTTTTATTAAAAGCTTTAGATTTTATCATTTATTTTATGTTGTACGTTTTAACATTTACTCTACATCGAAATGGGAGAGTTACAGCCTCTCAGTACTGCACTCACAACCCAACTTCCATAGAATGCCTTACCTTGTATGCTCCATGGGCTGCCAATATGCAAGTTACAATATGACAAATGCTGTAAAGTTGGAAAAACATCATCAGCTCTTTTGGATCTGTTGGTAAATTAATAAAATTAGGAGGAAATATGTTTCAATAAAGCATTTATTTTTAAATTTTTCACGAAAAAATTTAGTTCAAGTAGACGGGAGAGCTGCTATTTTGGAAATATAACAGTAATTTTTAAAGGAGTTAAAATGTACCGGAAAATGTAACACCAATTATGTAATCGGAAAAAAAAATTTAAAAAAAATATAACTTTGCTATGTTTAAATTTTTTTTAGTAATGGTTAAATATTTCAGAATTAAGGTTTAAATTTCATCAAAATCAGACGACTATAGCATATAGCTCCCATAGCATATAGCTCCCATAGCATATAGCTCCCATTATAACTTTGCTGTTAAATTAAATATTTTTTTTTATTTTTTCGACATATAGTAATGGTTAAATATTTCACAATTACGGTTTAAATTTCATCAAAATCGGACGACTGAAACATAAAAGCTCCCATGGGAACAATAAAAAATAAAATAAAAATAAAAAATGTTAGAAATTTTTTTTGATTGTTTAATTATTTGAAAATTCGGAATTACGCTTTTAATTTTATTAAAATCGGAAAACGGTATCATATAACTGCCATAGGAACTATTGAATAATTAAGCTGCAAATCATCATAGCTCAAATGCCTTTAAATATACACGCAAGTAAATCATAATTTTAATGACTTCAAAAATATCTAATTTTGCAATAGCTGCAAGGGTATATGAACTTCGGCTGGCCGAAAGTTTTTCAAAAAATATATTTTTTTGTTTTATATATTTGAATATCAAAATTTTTTAGCCTCTGTTTGTGGGCTAAAAAACATGAAGGGCTTTTCTTTTAGGATTCTACAAAAATTTTTGATATGTTGGGCAGGACGTTAGAAAAATAGGTTATTTTACGATGTGTTGTCTAGTCTAGCTAGAAAAAGTTTATCTTTGTACACTAAGCTTCTAAACTATTAAAGCAACAGACACGTGATATACGTCGTCAAACAGTTAATAATGTTATTGTTAAAAAGGTCAAATAATAATCAAATAATAATTAAATACCTAAGTTTTGTAATTATCGCAAAAACTTTTATTTCTTTTTAAGTTTTTACACTTTAAGCAACATTTTTAAGGGCAGCCCACCGTTCTTCTGTTTAACTTCTCTAATGTTCAGAGTTCAGTTTAAAATTTGGTGAGGGAAATCTTATAACAAAGTGTTTTTAAGTTAAAGGAGGAAAAATTGTCGCTAATTATTTATAAGGAATTACTTAAAAAATAGCTTTTTTATAAATTAGGGAAAATTATATGACTATACATTATAAGAAAATATTTTAAAAACAATGAAGTTATAATGGCACTGAGAACTTACTCGTTAACTTTTAATTAAGCTTTAAAGTTTTCCTAGCAAACTAGGTTTTCTCAAAACAAAATAAATTTTTTGACGGCTGAACACTCACATAGCATCTTATAGTTGTTTATTAACTTTAAAGTGGCTCAATTTAGAAAATTGTTGGTAACCAGTTTGGTTTTTTTATTATTAACTTCCTGAGAACTTCGCTATGGCGGTACAACATTTTACTTTCATACTATTCAAGTACAATTTTTAACTGTGGCTAAAAATGTTAAAATGTTTTTTTCAATACCTTTACCTTGAAGATTTTTATGTTCATTTGCTAATGTTAAATTTGAAAGTACATCGCAAAATGCGGACGGAGGAAATGAAGTAAAGGGTCGACCAGAAAGTTAAAACTTGTCATGGCTGCATTCAACTCACATCGTTCCACCCAGGTAGCCGATTCCTTGATAATAGTGCTAGTCTTATAATGAGTTTCCAGTATGCGAAACAGTCCAAAGAGGAATGATGTTCCATCGCTGAATATTAGCCACATGATTAGGGTGCTTTTCAGCTGGACACGTATAAAAGTAGTTTGGCTTAGCTGCAATTGACTCAAATATTACGTTCAAAACTTACGGCAGCAGCGGTGCAAATGACCAGGACACCCAGACGAACCGAGGCACAAAAGAAGTAGCTCTCCATGAGCACCATGTTGTGGCAGGACTATGTGGACTAAGTGCCTTGGTTTGCGTCGACATTGTGTGGCTTGCTCTTTGAGACCTGGCCAACGAATGATAGATGATGGCCATCGAGCCTGAATATGACGCTTTTGAGCACGGACTCCATTACCGAATGGTACGCAGATTGGAATCTTGAACATGTTTTTTTCATTATCCTGTGCGGTAATTAGAACGTTTTTGTTGTGCGTTGGTGGCTGACTCACCACACTTTCTGCGGTTCAGTCGGGGCGCTCAGATAGTTCAGTTTTGATTTACGAGCAGACATTACTAGTAATACCAAGTTCAATATGTTATTTATGGAGTCCTACATGTGTTATTGCTCGGTGCGGCTTGGCTCGATTTTGGTCTCTGTTCTGACGATTGTAAGTGACTATAAATTGCCTTCTTACCAAGTTAAACTAACACTTTCCCCTTCCAGATTCGAAACTTAGCTCACAGTTTGGTTCTTTTCACGATGGGCTTAAAAGTCTTCGAGCCATTAATCGATTTGTTTGAGCATGATTCGGAATACAAGGACAGGAAGTGGGTTAGAAAATGCATCAGTTGGAGTGAAGACTGTAGGTGTTATGGGTTAATGAATTTGAATTTATGTAATGCATGTAATTTGTAGCTCCTGAGAGCTTCAACGCGTTTTTCCAGATTATATCTTTTTCTCACATAGCAGCTGCCATGTTGTGTATTTGGGGTTCCATCAAGGTAAGTCTAGCTTGCCCTTGCGATTTCTCACAGTAAGTGTATTTGATTCGCTTCAATTAGTTACAGAAATGGCTTGTTCTCCCTTTGGCCTTCTTCGAGTTCTTATACTTTATAAATATTATGGCGCTGCACATTGTTCTGATGATCATGCTGAAAAAACAAATAAACCTGGGCTTTCTTATAATTCTTACACTTATGGGGTGCTTTTATATACGTAAGTATTACTTTAATCTCAAATCTTTCACAATTATCTTTGGATTCAAAAACAGTTTTTGATAACAAAAAATAATTAAAATTACTCCTTCGGTGCCAATTTAAATTTACAAATTACACGTAATATTATAGCGTTCCCTTGTGTTTTCCTTTTCCTCCTTTTTTATTTTCGAACATTTAATAATTCACTTTTAAATTACTAAAATTAGTTAATTAACAATAGTAAGCAATTAATTTACTTTATCGAGAAAAACTTTTTGGTCGCTGCGAGAAATTGATGTTAGCATTTATATATATGCTGTTAGAATTGCGCTAATCCGGTTGATCATCTAGTTAAGTGACGTTGTCTCTTTCGGTCTAAGCTTGCACAATCCATAACAAGCTTGATTGTTATGTTTTAATTTTAACTGTTTTTACCGTACTTGATAGGACAGAATAGGCACCCATAAGACATTTAATTTTATTTATTTAATATCATAGTCAAAATGGGTTGAAAATGTTAAAATTTTATTTGATGACTTAAGATCTATCTTATTCTAACAAAATTGAAATAATTTTATATATATATATTATTTTTTGTTAATATTAGTATGTTTCATTAATCTTTCTGATATAAATACTTTTAATTCTGTTTATTTGATTAATTAAATAATTTTGTTTTAGATACTTTTGATTTTAAATATATTTTGTTTCCTTAATGTTACATTTAAACTTAGTTGCGCACCTTATAGTTTTTAAGTGGTATGCTGTTCCAGAGTTTTTAATTACCAGACTCTCTTAGCATCTGGTATCCAATGATTTCTTACTAAATATTATGCATTTTGATTTGGATGGATTTATACTTGAGACAGTGTCTTTCAATTGCCAACCAGACACAGAACATTATTACTCCTACCAACACAGACATTGACTTGATTAATCGTCTGCCTATAAATGGACTTTAAAACCGGACAATCTGTAAAGTTGTACAGAATTTTAGCTTACTACTAAGAATGTAGTGATTCACCGAGTCAAATGCTTTGCTATGGTCAAGGAGAGCTAAAAATGTTTCATGTTGAATGGGGCTGTAATCTTTATTAGGTTTAATAATTGGGTTATCCCAATTTAGCTTTTTTTAAAACTGAAGGAAAAACTGACGTTGTAATAGACGTTTGTTTACATTATCCTATTCCAAGGTTATTCTTTTCCCTCTAAGTTTGTTTAGCGGAGTAGAGTTTTTAAATTTGAAAGTGATCGCGCTTAGCCTTTTTAATTGTTTCGGAAACTTTGGCTCTGGCTAATTTGAACTGTATCCTAAGCGATTGAGTTTATAGCGCTTTCACTTTTGAAAGGCTTGATCGCGGTCGTATATGGTTTTCTTTTCTTTTAAGCTGCATACATTTATTAAACATAAATTGCAAGTAATTGTTAAAGACATTCAATTGACATTCCACAAGGTGCTTTAATAAATAAGAAGCATTGTATTCATCCTGAAGATCATTGTAGTCAATTCCTTTACAGTCCCTATAAGTAAAAGACTCTTCGATATAGTCAAGTCTTATGTCGTATGTCGAAAAAAATAGGGCATGTTTAGAAAATACTGGTGTATTAACGTGATTATACAATAAAAGTTTTCTAATGTTACTGCTAAACAAGAAAGAAAGCAAACTTCGGCAAGCCGAAGTTCATATACCCTTGCGACTATTGCAAGAATTAAATATTTTTTAAAAAAAACATTAAAATTATGATTTACTTGCGTATATGTTTAAAAACTTGAAGCTTTGATGATTTGCAGCTCAATTATTAGATAGTTATTTTATATTTTTTTATTATTTCTATGGGAGCATCATGCTTTGTGCGACAAGTTTTGCCTCTACGCTACCCCCTCTCTCCTTCATTGCACGCATGTCCGCAATCTTCCACTCAAACAACTGCTCTCGTTGCGCGCGGAGATCAGCTACTTCGCTCTCTTGTCTGAGTAACCCTCTCTCCCGTTCGTTTTACCTCACCGTCGACCCACTATTCCTTCCAAGAGCTCCGTAAGGCTGCTGGGGATGCGCGTCTCCGCCTCCCGCACAAGGATGACCATTTTATTGGTGTGCTCCTGAAGGCGTACTGTGAGTAAGGTTATAAGCTGGCGCGAAGGGGCCTCAGAGCTGCGCTCACTGGCAGTGGCAGCGTTGATGCGGTGTCCCTTGTTGGCCGCCGAAGAAGAAGACATTATGAGGTTTTGTTTGTTTTTTTTTTTACGTCCCCAATTCACTCCTTGTTGTTGTTACAAGATGGCGGTTTTTCATTAAGAATTTAAGTTTTTTTTTAAAGAAACTGGCCACAAATAAAGTTTTAAATACTTCTCAACTAGGCCAAGTGTTTATATATCGAATGGTAAAACAAAGCCGATAATAAATAAAATTTTTCGCTGTTTGTTGATACTAATCACAGAGCGATAAAAGACGCGTCTGACTTTAGTTAGTTGTTGTTTAGTTGTTTTTAATATAATTTTTAAAAATGCTCATTTAAACATATTTTCCGTTTTGTCCTTTTATAGTTTTTGTTGGCTACAATGCCATCACCTGTGTGGCCATGTTCCAAGTCATTAGCCTGGTGAGGAGTCCCCGCTACCGCGATCTCTATGGTGAGGACCCATTCCATCCGCTGGCGATGAGGACCAGTCAACAGAAGAACTCTCAGAAGCCGCTCCAGGTGCTTCGCATGCACGACATGGACGACACAGACATCGACGAGCAAAAACGCCTGAGCAGGATCGGATTGTGGCCTCGCCGTCAGCCGCCAGTGGCTTCCGTCCTTCCCGAGCAGGCGCGGTATCCACAGTCCCAGCTGAAGTGGTGGCAGCAGCAGGCCCTGAGCACAGGCGATGCCAACCTGCAGGACACGTCTGTGTACCGCAACTGGCAGTCAAAGGAGCTCCTTAACGGAGCAGGCGGCAAGGTGCAACGCAAGAGCGACCTGAATCGACGCTATGCCGAAAACCAGATGCATCGATGGTACTGATTACATTCAAGAGGAGTGGTTGCTAGTTAGATTTTCAACAATGAAACATTATTTTATGCTTTTAAAGCTAATGCCTTAATAAATTAAAAAGGTACTATAACTATAATAATTATTCGTAACATTTTAAATTGGTTTTTAGTTTTTAGGTCATAATCAATTTATTGTCATATATGAACAACTAATAAGAGTAACGTACGACCTTTTTGTAAATAAACAAATATAACATACAAATTATAATCAATATACCAAAGCGAAGACAAGTTCTCTTATCTTTGCCTTCGTTAACTAAAATTTAAATTGGTTTTTAAGCCTAGTACTCCGGTCGACCAACAGTTTCGCCAGCGAAAAAACTTTGTTCTTCTTAGTGTGGACCAATTCTTTAGAGTTCCTTGATTCGGTGTGCTTCGGGCTTATTGTCAATCAATTGGGGTTGTTGACAAACAGACAACATTTCACATTAATGCCGCCAGCTTGCAATTACTATTTAAACATTGTAAATAGTGAAATATATATACATTTTTTTTAGCCGTGTCTCAGAGCTCTTTAAACAAAAGTAGAATCAAAATGGATCGGGAACATTTTGTCCTCAACATTTTACTATGGTAGGCGATTTTTCTGAGTTTCTTGAGAGTTTTCGTCCTCTTCAAGATGCGAGAAATACAAAGTTTCGACCATATAATTTTAAAACGCAACATTTTACATTTTTTATATAGACCTACATGCATGTATCAACAAGTGTGCTAAATTATCTCCATTTAGTACTTAAATTCCCTTCTCGGCATTTTCCTCGCGACACGTTCGGAAAAACTAAAACAAATATTTAAGTTTATATATAAATAATTTTTATTAATGTAATGACATTTTGGAATATACTAAAAATACTGACACAACGCCAACATGTCCATGTTCTTTTACCTGTCTTGTTTGGTGTTAATCTACTTTATAATACGTAGTCACTAGTTCGCCTCATATTACATGCTGTTTACACTAAATACTATAAACGCCTATGTAATACAATTTTTAAATTTGTTAGCTAAGTAATGAGTAACTTATAGTCGAGGAACTCGACTATAGCGTTAAATAGCTTAAAAGTATACAATTAAAACCACTAGGAATTGAAAACCAAAAAGAAAAACATTTCTGGACAGTAGACAACAGACAAAAAAAAAAATAAGCTAGATCTGAAGTGTCCTTTGGGCCATTGTAGTTTGTGCTAAATGAGTTCCATAATTTAACATATCTGATCTAATCCTTTTCCTTCCCAACGCTGCGCTGCAAACATTAAAAATTCTCTAAGGAATATTGAATTTTGACCACATAAAAATTGTTCTAACCCTAATGGACTGGTAAGCAGCGTAATATTAAAAGCCCTATCTACTTATTCAATAAGTCATAAATTCCTTTTGATGCACATTGCCGAACCAAAAAATTCAGAGACCCCTCAACAAAAGCCTCAGCTCCCCACAAGGACCAAACTTTCTCAAACTATCTCATTGGCTTAGCTGTTTGGGCTTTTGGTGAGCGCTTTGCATAAACGGCACTACAGATTATGCAGCTGTCTGAGAGACACTTTGCATATCCTGGACCAGGAAGCGGGATGCTTCAATGCCCGGTTCGACTTACAAATGCTTTTCCCACTTTACATTCCCAGAAAAATGCACTGCGACCGGAAACGCGACAGAGTGGGTGGGCGAAAAAGGCAGCGAATGAGCTAGAGAAAAGATTGGTGATGCTTGGTGGACCATTGTGTTGGGAAGATGACAAAAATCGAATACTTAACAATTGGTGACGCTTGCAATGGACCATGAGCTGTAGTGGAAAGGGCAAGGAATTCGGAGCTGGCACTCAACGAGACTGCCAATTTCTCCCTCCTCCTTTTCCTCTTTACTCCTCTGTTTTTCTGAATATCTGCCATCAGAAATCCCGACCACATGGACATATTTTGTCCTCGAGAGATTTCTGCGCTATGTGTTGACAGTTTTTGTTGACTGCTGACTGTTTGCTGCTGCCTCTGATGCTTTTGGGATTGCATTTGCTGCCCCTAGTCGCACGAGTTTTTTTTATAATTTAATTAAAAGTTTACAAAAAAAAAAATGTGATTTCGAAGTCAATCAGAGCTGTCCTGTTAGTTTGCGGATAATGGAAGCTGGACCAAACATTTCATTTTGTTATCATCATTTCCAAAAAAACATATATTTTCGCATTAAGAAATTTGAATTTGAAATTTTGAATAACGATTTAAATTTAAAAAGGGAAAATTCCACATCCCGCAGTTTATATAGCTATCACAAAAACAAAATATTCTTTAAAACCACTATATTTAATTTTTTATTCCGATGAATTTTTCGATCTCTTATATGTCAGTTTGTGATATTTTTATAAAATTCGGAGGTAACTCTTGCGGCTGGAAAAAATACTGAATTGGATAGTGTTTTACTGAAGAAAGAAAAAAGAATTTATGTATTTGGGGATTATTAAGCATGTAATTAAGTAAAAAAACATTTTTATACCCTTGCAGAGGGTATTATAATTTCAGTCAGAAGTTTGCAACGCAGTGAAGGAGACGTTTCCGACCCCATAAAGTATATATATTCTTGATCAGCATCACTAGTAGAGTCGATCTAGCCATGTCCGTCTGTCCGTCCGTCTGTCCGTCTGTCAGTCTGTCCGTCTGTCCGTCTGTCCGTCCGTTTATATGCAAACTAGTCTCTCAGTTTTAAAGCTATCTGCATGAAACTTTCCCAAAAGTTGTCTTTCTATTGCAGGTAGTATATAAGTCGGAACGAGCCGGATCGGACGACTATAGCATATAGCTCCCATAGGAACAATCGGAAAAATAATTGAAAAAAAATTGTAACTTTGCTGTTTTTTAATTTATTGTTTAGTTCTTCGACATACAGCAATGGTTAAATATTTCAGAATTATGGTTTAAATTTCATCAAAATCGGACGACTATAGCATATAGCTCCCATAGGAACAATCGGAAAAATAATTGAAAAAAAATTGTAACTTTGCTGTTTTTTAATTTTTTTTTTAGTTCTTCGACATACAGCAATGGTTAAATATTTCAGAATTATGGTTTAAATTTCATCAAAATCGGACGACTATATCATATAGCTCCCATACAAATAATAAAAATATATAAAAGAACAATCAAATAATTAAGCTGCAAATCGTCATAGCTTTAATGTTTTTAAACATATTCGCAAGTAAATCATAATTTTAATGTTTTCAAAAATATTTAATTCTTGCGATAGCTGCAAGGGTATATGAACTTCGGCTTGCCGAAGTTTGCTTTCTTTCTTGTTTTTTAATTAAATTCAGGGTGGCGGCTACACTGCAAATCTACTGAATATGTGTTTCTTTTAGGACCTTCACGAGCGGGCACTTATATCTCGAAAAGTGAAACAAAAGACTAAAAAGATTATTAATTCACATACCATTGGCTGTATAAGTAAGAAGGGATTTTTTGTTAATTTAGGTGCAAAACTTGGAAAAAGAGAGAATTTTTGGCAAACAAATTTTCGCTTATAGAAATTCAAGTCTTAGTTAAATCAACAAACGTGGGTTTGAGAAAGTAACAAGTAAACATAACAAAAATAGAAAACAAACAAAATAAGCCAAAATGAATTAACTAATGCGTGCTGAGTCATAGGCGTTCAGCAGATCAAACTTGATTATTGATTACTGATCCATCAGTTATCAGTGATCATGTGGTTTTGCTGAATACGCCCACCACCTATTCTATCGCTCTAGAAAAAATATAAAATGTTCTGTGTATTTATGTTAAAAAGTCGCGAATGTCTGTCATGTCACTCTGACAAGTGTATTTAGTTATTCAATTAAAAAGCTATATATGTTTATTATTATATTTTCAGGGGCAAATATTTGTTTTGAAATTACTTAGTTAAGTAACGGGCATTTAATATTTCGTCACCACCTTGAAATAAACTCTTCCCTGACAGCCCTTAAGGAACATACAATCAGACTTTAGAACACGTTTGGGACACACTTAAGGCAATACGTGTCGCTGATTATCTGCCGTTCGCTTAGTACTGGCTTAAGTTCCAAAAAAAACGTGACAGGATAACAATAGACAAAATTCTCCAGGAGCGGAGCTTTTTAAAAAGCATTAAAGAGAATTCAATACAGTTATATAAAAATTCCATGCTGTTGCTTTTTAGCAAGAACGTTAATCAGAACTGATTGATTTTACAAAAAATAAATATTTATAAAAACGTTTTGAGACTAAAACGATTTGTAAGGGCGAAATTTTTTTTTTTAAGCCAAATAATTTTATATATTTAATGCTTTTGTGTAACAAAACTTGTAGCAACAAATGTTAAAGTCAAACTAAAGTTTTAGTCTATGCACTAAGAAAACTAGAAAAACTAAGGAAAACATGGCCTAATGTAAGGAATATTTTTTTTAAAAATTGTGCTTTTCATACAAAATTTAGAAAACATGACCCAAGGTTTTTTGCGTTTGTGAAAACGCAATTCAATCCAAAGTTTAGAATATTCATTAAAAATCCATTGCTTGAACCTATTCTAAAAATTTAGGGGTCTACAGTCGAAAATATCTTTTACCCATATTTGGTTTTTTGGTAAGTTTTTTTTAAGAATTAATTGATGGAAGAACTTCAGTTTCAGCATCTTTTTTGAAACTTTGTCGAGCTATGGCATCTATGTATATTAGGAAATTTATCGTTAAAACATGTACCGAAAAGTTAAAGAACGTTCTAATTTTAGTAAAACAAGCTAAAAATTCGGTTAAGCAGAACGGGAGATAAAAATAAAATAGACATGAAATCGGGAAAAACGTTAAAGACATTCCTAAAAAAATGTGAAATAAAAAAATGTTCAGTGTCATTTTCTGAATAAGAGAGTCTACCTAATAGCTCAAATGTAATCGATGCTCACCCGACTTAATTGTTGCGTTTGCCCTCCGTCACATTTGTTCTTTGGAACTCCAATAATAACATCATTGTATAATGTTTATGTATAATTTATGTATAATCAGATAGTTGCCCAGTGGCTGAGAGTCCACCCAGTAAAAATAAAATTCGATTTCTAGGAGATTTTGTCATTTGTCACACAATTTTCCAAGTCATAAGTCGTACAAGCTAATGACTAAGTAGCAAGTGTTAAAAAAAAATTAAATATATTAAAGTAAAATAAGACGCGTTACTTAAAAAAATCGGTGTTTTGCAAATGTGAATCCGCTCCTGTGAGGGTAAGTGTAAAGTGCTAGCCTGGGCAGGCTCAACAAGTAGGTGGGACAGTTCAGAGCTCGAGCTGGAATGTGACACTTTGACTAGAAGAGTACCTATTCAATGTGCGTGTATATGCAATGCTGAAAGGGATTTGCTCCAGGCAGCAACTGGAAAGTGAATTAGAGATTAGACTAGAGTGATTTGCGAATAACCTAACTGAAAATTTATGGAAAGAGAACATATTTTGCATATTTAATTTAATGACAGCTGAAGATTCAATGTTGAATTCAGTTACTAATTCAGCTTGATTTGGTAGGATGAAACCCAAGCATTGAATGACGTTGCACCAAATGATTTATTTATGGATTATTTTTACACATTTATTCCCAGCAGTAAATAATATAAATTCTGTGCCAACTTTTGCGAAAAATGTTTAGCAACGTAAGGACATTTGTTAACTGCAAGTTCTGCTCAAATCGTTGGCAGATGATGTTCGGTGCGATGAAGGAGGTTTGCGTTCTTGTTCAAGGGCTGCAGCTTCACGTAATCTTGATGCGGGTGGTGATGATGCTGCGTGCTAGGCAGCAGCGGTAATGATGTGTTTGAAGTCTGTAAAAAAAGAGTTGATATTAATTATTTATTATATAAAAATACATTAACCTTAATAGAAATAGTTTATGTTATTAATTAGTATTATTATTTTATTATATGGTTATGTTCTAATTCATTTTTACAGCCTTGCAGCGGGAAGGACACGTTTTCGACCATATATAGTATAAATATACTATCAATCAGCATAGGAAAGTCATCAAGCCATGTCTGTCTGTCCGATTCTACGCAAACTAGTCCTTCAGCACCAAAGCTATCTGTAACTTATCCAAAAGTTGTCTTTCTATTGCAAATAGTTTATTCGTATATTTATATAAGTCGGAACGGGCCGGATAGGACCACTAATCTGTGCTATTTATAATGTTGTTTTTTATAATTGTTCTTTGAGATTAATATGTTTTAATTTTATTAATATGCTTTAACGCCAAATAAGTCGAAAGTCTGTTTTGTCACTCTGAGACATGGTATAAAGCTTAATATTTTTAATCGGTCAATATTTATCGACTCATACAAAAAGCTCCAAATCGTTACAATATTTTTTAAGTTATTAGCATAAATGTAAAACACAATTATTTTCAAGGGCATGTTTTTTTAATTCAGTTTGCTGAGTAGGAGGTGTTTTATAGTCGGGCACTCGACTAAGGCGTTTCTTCTTGTTATTTAAATCAAGTAAAAACACCTCTTAACGAGGTAAAAAAAACGTGACGATCGCTTTGACTCACAAAATTTCTGATATTACATTTTTTAACAAAAAATTGAATGCTTAAATTCAACCTAATAAATACACATTTTAAAATTTTATTATTCGTTGCGCTCCAACAAAGCTTTATATCTACACAGACATATTTTTTTTTTGTAGCGTGCCGAATAACAAAATTATAAATTTGGAATTACGGTTTAAATGTCATTAAAATCGGACGACTATAGCTCCCATGGAAGCAATCGGAATATTAATAACAAAAATTGTAACTTCTCAAATTTTAGATTTTTTTGGACATAGGAATGGTTTAATAATTCAGAATTACGCTTTTAATTTTATTAAAATCGGAAAACGATATCAGATAGTTACCATCGGAACGGTCGAACAGTTGAAGTGAAATCATCATAGCTTCAATGGTTTTTATTGGATACTTAAATAACACAAAATTTAGATGTTTAATTTTTGCAATAGCTGCAACAATTTAAAATACATTAATTTGAACAAGAATTGATTACCGACAACGTAGAATAAATATATATGTAAAACTAGTTGTAGGTCTTTTTGATTCTCTATTCAAAGATAGGAATTCGCTATCCATTTTTTAACGTGCCATTTAAAACACTAAATTACAAGAACAATCTGTTCAAGTAGTTGACACTGAAAAACACAAAGCACATTTTTTTTAAATACAGATCGCGAGAGGAGACAGAAAAGGGACAATAAAGGAACTGATAGACTAATTAAAAATATAAACGAAACAAAATACTAAATATTAATTTTGTACTAAGTTTTCAAATTATAAAGAGAGTCGTTAGTAGAAATTATGTGATAGAGTTTACAATAGTCATTGCAAAGTGCTCTTAGGGGTTCCTGCCTATTAATGGGGTGAGGATGAGGCTTCCTAAGGTTGGAGTAGAATAATGAAACCGATTCCCACGTAGGAATGCGAAAATAAAAGAACTTGAGGATGCGGGTGTATATTTACAATTGGAACTAACAAAAACGTAACTTATATAGGCCGCTCCAGAGCGGAGCGGAGACTTTAGAGGAGGGAGATTAAAATAAGGTTAAAAATAAGAGGAATATAGTTCATAGTAATTCTATTAGGCACAGAGAAATGTAGGCGACCCTTCCACTTCCCCGTGATTAAGTTTACGAGTAAACTTAATACCAAGCTTCGTTCCACGGTTGGAAAAATATGCAAATTAATTATTGGTAAGTTTTGGTTTGCATCCAAGAAGAGTTTATAAGAAATTCTTTTGCACAGACTTTATCCGGTCTATATGTATACTAAATTGGGTGAGCAGTACTTCAGGAGTGGACGAACTAAAGAAATAAATAAAGTTTCAAGAAATAGCGGTCATCAAATTCCTTACACCACCTTTTTATAAGTCCAATTACTGTCGATCTTTATTTGCCATGGATGTAATATGGTCAGAAAACTAATGTTTTTGGCCCAGAAGGACACCAAGCTCATCAATATGTCTAATTCTAGTGCTGTGTTACTCGATAAAATGATATTGCTTCGCATTTAGCGCTATTTTAGTCCAATAGATGTACATAGCAGGATGTTTGAAAAGCATTAAGACTCGTTTGTAAGACTGAACTTCGAGAAATATCGCTTTGTTGGATCGGGGAGATCATTTAGAGACACAGCTTTTAAAGATGGTTTCGTCGTTCAGTCCGTAGTGAGATGGTTGTGGTTGTTACATCTACGGAAATACAGTCACAAACCTTAGATTTATCCCGGGCCGCCGCGATGGCCGCCGCCTGGGCCGGACCCGTCTGCAGCTGCTGGGCCGCCGTGGCCAGCATGAACTGCTGGGAGGCGAGCTGCTGCTGTCGGAGATTGGCCGCCTCCAGGCTGTTGACGTGCTCCTGCTCGCGCTGCTTGGCGATGTAGTCGTCGAAGTAGGAGTGCTTGATGAGCTTCTCGCAGGACCAGCGCTTGGCCGGATCCTTGTCCAGGCACTTTCTGAGGAAGTCGATGGTCAGCGGGTTCTGCAGCGACTTGGCCGGCATCTTGTCCTCCAGCGGCTCGAGCGTGGGCGGCACCGGCAGCGTGATGCCCTTGAAGTACTCGTTCTGGCCGAAGATCTGGATGTGGCGCGGCAGCAAATCGCCCAGGGTCTTGCGGATCAGGTACAGCTGGTCGACGTCACTCCGGCCCGGCCACAGGGCCTCACCGCGCACCAGCTCGGCGAACAGGCAGCCGATGGCCCACACATCCACGGGGGTGCCGTACTGGGTGTCGCCCACCAGGAGCTCCGGTGCCCGGTACCAGCGGGTGGCCACGTAGTCCGTGTAGTTCTCGCCCGGACTGAGCATCCGGGCAAAGCCGAAGTCGCACAGCTTCACCTGGCCCTGCGCCGTCAGCAGGATGTTCTCCGGCTTGATGTCCCGGTGCAGGCAGCCCTGCTTGTGGCAGTAGGCCACGCCCAGCAGCGTCTGGTAGCAGATCTGTTTGGTCAGGTGCTCCGGGCAGCCCTGCGGATGGCGCTCCAGCTCGTGGAGCACGGTCAGCTCGCAGAACTCGAAGACCAGGTGGAGGCGCCGCTTGCGTCTAAACACTTCCAGCAGGGAGACCAGATTCGGGTGCTTGAGATTCTGCAAATGCGGGATGAAAATTTCGTTAAGCACCGTAGTATTCAATATTTTTCTCTTTCAAGTGAAGTTTTTGGCTAAACTAAACTTGCTCTGCTTAGGAACTATAGTTCTTTTTAATTGTTTCCGAGAGCTCGATGTCCATACAGACGGACAGACAGGCGGACATGACTAGATCAACTCGGCTATTGATCCTGATCAAGAATATATATACTTTATATGGTCTTTATATGGAAAAGCTACTTCCACCTGTTATATACTTTTCAACGAAAACAACATACCCTTTTACTCTACGAACAACGGGTATAATTACATTATTATTTGTATGATCGTTATTTTGTTATCCATATGATGAAAGTATTGGATTATATCTTGAATAGTAATTTCACGGACACCACATAAGCCGATTTGTATTGAACTCTGCTGCAATTCGAATCGCATTCGCAATCTCAGACGAAATACAGCATTAAAACCATGTTTATACATGAAGGACGTTGCACTCCGCTAAAACTTAGGTTTTTTCCACGTCCTTGTAACAGCATCATGTTGATGTCATTTTCACCATTGTAGTTCATTTTACAACAAGAAAAATGGGAAAAACGTTCGATTTTATACCACTGCAGAGGGTGTTCTAATTTCAGTCAGACGATTGCAACGCTTCAATGCGATTTCGACCATAAAAATTATAAACATAGCCATGTTCGTCTGTCCGTCCGTCTGTCCGTTTCTACGCAAGTTAGTCTTTCAGTTTTATAGCTATCTAACTTTCACGAACGTCAGAAAAAACCAGATCGGACGACTATAGTATATAGCTCCCTGCTGGACATCATTCCAACAATTTATTATGACTTTCATAAGTCATGAATTAACAATGAATTTTTAAACGTTCGGAAACGCTTTTTACTATTATTCCATTTAATAAAATAAACTCAGGGAAAGTAGTTTTAAAAAAGTTTGACAGAGATGAAATAAATCACTTTGAATAACACTGCTCAAGCCACTGTCCCTGCTGACGGCTTCTTTTGAATGGTAGATGATGGTAGATGGATGATATGTGGGAACAATAAAAAAATCCATTGCGCTGGGATGGGCTCTGTGAGATTGGACTAATAAAAATTATTCCCCGACTATTAGACTTCCGTTACTCAACTAACCAACTTAAACTAAATATTTATCCGCCAAACAATCAAACACGAGACTATTTATATACCCTTGCTGAGGGTATTATAATTTCAGTCAGAAGTTTGCAACGCAGTGAAGTAGACATTTCCGACTCTATAAAGTATATATATTCTTGGTCAGCATCACTAGGAGAGTCGATCTAGCCATGTCCGTCTGTCCGTCCGTTTGTACGCAAAATAGTCTCTCAGTTTTAAAGCTATCTGCATGAAACTTTCCCTAAAGTTGTCTTTCTATTGCAGGTAGTACATAAGTCGGAACGAGCCTGATCGGACGACTATAGCATATAGCTCCCATAGGAACAATCGGAAAAATAATTAGTAATTAATTAAATATTTCAGAATCACCGTTTAAATTTCATCCAAATCGGAATACTATAACATTAAGCTTCCATGAAAACAATAAAAATATTAAATACATTTTTTTTAAACTTTTTTATTTTGTTTTTTTTTTTAGATCTTTATGACTTTTTAATAATTTTTATACCCTTGCAGAGGGTATTATAATTTCAGTCAGAAGTTTGCAACGCAGTGAAGGAGACATCTCCGACCCTATAAAGTATATATATTCTTGATCAGCATCACTAGGCGAGTCGATCTAGCCATGTCCGTCTGTCCGTCCGTCTGTCCGTCCGTCTGTCCGTCTGTCCGTCTGTCCGTCTGTCCGTCCGTTTATATGCAAACTAGTCTCTCAGTTTTAAAGCTATCTGCATGAAACTTTCCCAAAAGTTGTCTTTCTATTGCAGGTAGTATATAAGTCGGAACGAGCCGGATCGGACGACTATAGCATATAGCTCCCATAGGAACAATCGGAAAAATAAATGAAAAAAAATTATAACTTTGCTGTTTTTTAATTTTTTGTTTAGTTCTTCGACATTTAGTAATGGTTACATATTTCCGATTTACGGTTTGAATTTCATCAACGTCGGACGACTATATCATATAGCTCCCATAGGAACAATCGGAAAAATAAATGAAAAAAAATTATAACTTTTCTGTTTTTTAATTTTTTGTTTAGTTCTTCGACATATAGCAATGGTTAAATCTTTCAGAATTATGGTTTAAATTTTATCAAAATCGGACGTCTATATCATATAGCTCCCTTAGAAATAATAAAAATATATAAAATAACTATCAAATAATTGAGCTGCAAATCATCATAGCTTCAATGTTGTTAAACATATACGAAAGTAAATCATAATTTTAATGTTTTCAAAAATGTTTAATTCTTGCAATAGCTGCAAGGGTATATGAACTTCGGCTTGCCAAAGTTTGCTTTCTTTCTTGTTAAGTTCAAAATAACGTTTTTAATTTTATTAAAATCGGAAAACGATATCATAATGCTGCCACAGGAACTATAAAATAATTGAGCTGCAAATCATCAAAGCTTCAATGATTTTCAACATAAACGCAAGTAAATGATATTTTTAATGTTTTCAAGAATGTATTTGTGTAATAGCTGCAAGGGTATATGAACTTCAGCTTGCTAAAGTTTGCTTCCTTTCTTGTTTAATTATACCCTTGCTGAGGGTATTATAATTTCAGTCAGAAGTTTGCAACGCAGTGAAGGAAACATCTCCGACCCTATAAAGTATATGTATTCTTGATCAGCATCACTACGCGAGTCGATCTAGTCATGTCCGTCTGTCCGTCCGTTTCTACGCAAACTAGTCTCTCAGTTTTAAAGCTATCTGCATGAAACTTTCCCAAAAGTTGTCATTCTATTGCAGGTAGTATATAAGTCGGAACGAGCCGGATCGGACGACTATAGCATATAGCTCCCATTGGAACAATCGGAAAAATAAATTTAAAAAAATTATAACTTTGGTGTTTTTTATTGTTTTTGTTAGTTTTTCAACTTATAGTAATGGTTTAATATTTCAGAATTACGGTTTAAATTTCATCAAAATCGGACGACTATAGCATATAGCTCCCATAGGAACAATCATAAAAATAAATAAAAAACAAGAAAGAAAGCAAACTTCGGCAAGCCGAAGTTTATATACCCTTGCAGCTATTGCAAGAATTAAACATTTTTGAAAACATTAAAATTATAATTTACTTGCGTATAAGTTTAAAAACATTGAAGCTATGATGATTTGCAGCTCAATTATTTGATAGTTATTTTATATATTTTTATTGTTCCTATGGGAGCTATATGATATAGTCGTCCGACTTTGATGAAACTTAAACCGTAAATTGGAAATATTTAACCATTACTAAATGTCGAAGAACTAAACATAAAATTAAACAAGAAAGAAAGCAAACTTCGGCAAGCCGAAGTTTATATACCCTTGCAGCTATTGCAAGAATTAAACATTTTTGAAAACATTAAAATTATAATTTACTTGCGTATAAGTTTAAAAACATTGAAGCTATGATGATTTGCAGCTCAATTATTTGATAGTTATTTTATATATTTTTATTGTTCCTATGGGAGCTATATGATATAGTCGTCCGACTTTGATGAAACTTAAACCGTAAATTGGAAATATTTAACCATTACTAAATGTCGAAGAACTAAACATAAAATTAAAAAACAGAAAAGTTATAATTTTTTTTCATTTATTTCTCCGATTGTTCCTATGGGAGCTATATGATATAGTCGTCCGACTTTGATGAAATTTAAACCGTAAATCGAAAATATTTAACCATTACTAAATGTCGAAGAACTAAACAAAAAATTAAAAAATAGAAAAGTTATAATTTTTTTTCAATTATTTTTCCGATTGTTCCTATGGGAGCTATATGCTATAGTCGTCCGATTTTGATGAAATTTAAACCGTAATTCTGAAATATTTAACCATTGCTATATGCCGAAGAACTAAACAAAAAATTAAAAAACAGCAAAGCTATAATTTTATTTTCATTTATTTTTCGGATTGTTCCTATGGGAGCTATATGCTATAGTCGTCCGATTTTGATGAAATTTAAACCATAATTCTGAAATATTTAACCATTGCTATATGTCAAAGAACTAAACAAAAAATTAAAAAACAGCAAAGCTATAATTTTTTTTCATTTATTTTTCCGATTGTTCCTATGGGAGCTATATGCTATAGTCGTCCGATCTGGCTCGTTCCGACTTATATACTACCTGCAATAGAAAGACAACTTTTGGGAAAGTTTCATGCAGATAGCTTTAAAACTGAGAGACTAGTTTGCATATAAACGGACGGACAGACGGACAGACGGACGGACAGACGGACATGGCTAGATCGACTCGCCTAGTGATGCTGATCAAGAATATATATACTTTATAGGGTCGGAGATGTCTCCTTCACTGCGTTGCAAACTTCTGACTGAAATTATAATACCCTCTGCAAGGGTATAAAAATTATAACTTTGGTGTTTTTTAAATTTTTTTTTTAGTTCTTAGAGATATAATAATGTTTAAATATTTCAGAATTACGGTTTAAATTTCATCAAAATCGGACGACTATAGCATATAGCTCCCATAGGAACAATCGTATAGCCGCCATAGGAACTATCGAACAATTAAGCTGCAAATCATTATAGCTTCAATGTTTTTAAACATTCACGCAAGTAAATCATAATTTTAACGTTTTCAAGAGTATTTAGTTTTTGAAATAGCTGCAAGGGTATATGAACTTCGGATTGCCGAAGTTTGCTTGATTTCTTGTTTTTGTTTTAAATTCTTCGAGATATAGAAATGGTTTAATATTTTAGAATTACGGTTTTAATTGGATTGCGTCTTAATTTATACGAATACAGTCCGAGATATACTGATGGCTCACTACTTTGGAATTACGGCTAAAGATTAATAAAAATCGGAAGGCGATGTCATGTTCATGCAATAAGAAAGATCGAAAATTTCCTCGTTGTTTTTTTAAATTTTTATTTTCTTGTTAAAATACAATATAAACTAAGAAGTAAGCTAAATTTTAATTTGACGCCCAAATTGTGTGAGTTGATGGTTGACACTTACCTTAAGTAACCTAATTTCTCTAAGTGCAATTTTTCGTATGGCCGGATCGTCTTCTGACTCCACAAACCTCTTCACCGCCACCAAAGCACCAGTTTCCCGATCCCGGCATTTGTAAACCACGCCATAGGAACCTTCGCCCAACCGACTGAGCTTCTCATAGCGATCCATTTTGCTGCTACCTTGAGGTCTGTAAGGAAGTTAACAAGAAAGAGGGTTATTCCGGAATGCCCAGCTTGATTGTGCTGAAAAATTGGTTTGAGTTAGAAAGGTTTTACCTTAAGCTCAAACATTGGCCACGTTTGATGTTTGCACGTCGCATTGCTTTGCATTTAGCACATAAAATGTTTATAAATTTTTCTGTTTGAAAGCTCAGACACGAACACATATGGGACCACAGGGGCAGACTTGCATTCGAGTGTTTACCAATGTGGAGGGATTTTCGTTGTGGTATTTAATTTGTGGGCTGTTTTAGAATTTGTTTATTTACAAGTCTTTATATTGGATTAGTTTTGTTTTTAAGATGTCCAGAATTGGTATGATTTGCGTTTTTGGTTAGTGGATTTCGATGGAATGAAACAAAAATCAAATGAGAAAACGTTATGAATGAGTAAATTTATTAGGAAGGCTAAATTTGGTAAAAATAATTCGTAAAAAAATAGTTTTTAAAGTGCAAGCGTTTTAGTAATACAACCAACCATTTTACGGGTTACAAAAGCTCAACACAATTACGAAAGTTTAGTCTGAATTTGATAATAATACTGGTGGGGGCGTTAAATAAATCGATATTATGAACATTAAATCGCCAATAGATACGGAACCCTACCTAATTAACTCTAACAGTCGATGAGCACTAAATCGATTTGTTGTTTTGCTTTAACAAACTTGATTTGCTTATGTTTTGGGATAGTTTCTTTCCGTTGCCTTTCATGCCTATTGGGTGCTTCTAAAAAAAAGGTCCGCAGTGTAGCTATGAATTCGAAAATCCTCTCTTTAACCACATTTTTTATTATGTAGCCTATATAACTGTAATAACCTAATTTGTTATTGCTCTAAATCATACTTAATACACCACGGAATTATTAAAAATAGTCACGGCACGAACCGTTGACAATGTGTTTGGAATATGCCGTCTAAGTAGAAAACTCTAATTTTACACCATTTCTCCGATCTTCAAATTCCTCGAAAAACATAGCCGGATCAGACGACTATATCATATATCTCCCATAGGAACAAAGATTTTTAACCAAATCAATAAAGTAAATTTATAGATTCAAGATTATACAACTTGGTGTCAGACTCGATTAAATATTAACCGATGGTAACAGAGGCTGTGAGGATTTTTATTAAGAAAAGTAAACACTACATTATCTAAAGCTTGAACCTTAACGTGAAATTTAAAAAAATTTTTGAAAGAACAAGGAAAGTAGAAAGAAAAACATATATTTTCGGAGTAGAGTGATTTAAAGACTTTAAGTTTCTTAGGTTTCACCGAAATTTGTATACATCTTAAATAAAATTTCCTGTATTTCGTAAGTGGAATCAGGTCTATAAATTAATAAAATCGGTTTGGAGTTCAATCAAATTTTGTTTGGTTTTATGTTAAAATCTAGTCGAAAGTGATTTCTGTGACAACCACTCATAATTATTTTGGAATCGTTGAATAAAGAGCTTTTCTAAGCAAAGTGCATTCATTTGCAGAATGTACAGTGTTTACTCAGAATATGTTGGTATACCATTAAAGATTTCCCTTTCGCATTAGCTTCGATATCTCTTCTGAAGCAGGAAAAGTTCCGGGCTTGTATGCAACTTTAATTAGAACAACTCACATTTCATGAGCATAGTAAGTCTAAGCTTTTGACGGAGGAAAAGTGCCTCATATTTCCTAGGAAAAGTGTTTGTTTTTGCCCGGATTTCTTAAAAAGTTTCTTTAAATCGTTCATACAAAGAGCAAACAAAACGCAATAGTGAAACCAGACTCGAAGCATACACTCAAATTGGATTGGATCGATCTGGAACTCTAAAGTTATAAACAATTGTAGTCAATATTGGCGAAAAAATTAGTGGTCCTTATTCAATATTATTAAAATTTGAAATATCCATGAGTGTATAAACGAAATCGATTTTTTTTGTGACGCGTTCCCAGAGAATGTTTCTTTGAAATTTGTATAACGCACAATAACTATAAAAGTAGACAGCTCTATGCCAAAAACAAAGCCGGGGTAACTGAACTTTCTCAGGTGCCTTGCTGCATTTTTTCTAACGTGAGTGTAGGTCATAAACATAACATGCAATTAAATATTTATATGCTTGTGGGTGGAGGGTGGTAAAAATCGGGAGGTGGGTGGCACAAACAAATATAACGAAAACACAGGACACTGAAAACGTAGGAAGCAGATGACTTACCTAGGCACCCATCTGGCTAAAATCTGACGTATTTGCCACTAAAGTGTTTTATTGAATTGTGGATGAATTGGATTTAGATTTCAAGAGATCGGGGTAAGTCTACGATACACACCATGCGCCAAATATTCTTCCAAGCCCGTCGATCAATAAGGTATTTGAATGGTAGACCGCTTGAACGGACGTTTGTTTTGACTGACAACCAACCACTGAATAGGGGAATTGCTGGTCTGCTCCCTGGTCCCGGGTCCCAGGTCTCAGGTCGACTCCACACCACTAGCCAATGTCATAGCAATGCGACCAAAGTTAACAAAGCAAAAAACCACAACAAAACCCAATCCATGCGCAGTTGCTCCAAAGTTGTTCAAGAAGTTTCTCCCCTTTGTTGTTTTTGTTAGCGACGACCGGAAGACATTCAAGGTGTGCTTCCTTGGATTTCTTTGCTTTTTTCATACACTTTTTGAGGTTACCCGGCGGAGTCCTCTGTCCAGGGACAGGAGTGCCTTAAGAACTGGGTTCTTTGGCATAGATTCTTGGGGAACTCTATTTGGGGAAACTGGTGCAGCAGTGCAATGAGTGAGTTGTGACGGGGTGGATTTAATTTGGGGTCCTTATTACATATTAACGTTTGAACGGCTGTGCAATTATAACATTGTAAAGGGTAGCTCAACTTGGTTGGGTTACGTTAATGTTTCTGGGAAGGCAGCTTAATAGCTCAAGGGACACTTATTATTAACCTTGTTGTGTTTGCTCTAAGCTGTTCAAACTTTTTAACTTTCGCCTTTTGTCACAATTACACCGGTTTCTGTTTATTTATCGTTTGATTCTGGTACATTCACAAATACTATAATTCTTTTTATCAAGGCATAGTTTAATCACACAAAATATTTGTGAAAAAACATTGAACAGTTTAACATTAATATTTTGTGGTCAGTTCTGAGCTCTGTTGGTAAATTTTTCACTCTTAGTTATATTGTTTAAAAATCTCTTTATTTTCCTACCTTCGCAATGAAAACAACTTGGAAATCTCAAACATTTTCATTATATCACCGAATTTTCCACAGAGCACTTATGTCTATATTTATTTACTCTAGCCAAAAAAAGGGAAAACGAGCTTTTTGGCAGAACGACACGATGTGAAGACGAAAAGAGCCGGCAAACGACTGAGTTGCTTTTGGTTAGAATTGAGTTTGGAGCGACACGGAGTTGGTAGGCGCTCTATTGCATCAACGGACCTTGCCCATACGCCAAGTTGGTCGATAGCGACTTTGATTCCCATGTTTTTGTTTGCTAAGGTCTCGCGTGTTTCATTAAAAATGCATTGAAATGCATTGGACTTACACGAAGGAGAGCATCGACATTAAATAAGGGACGATTATCTCGCATACGATATGAACAACAATTAGGGCTTATACCAAAGAAAACAGTTGGTCAGAAAAACTTTTCCATACCACACTGTTTCCCTGCCATGTTTTTTTTGCTTTCTCAGACGTTTGACCTCTTGAACGAACGAAGTACCTAGCCACGGATTCCCTTCCCTTTCTTCAAATGAATTTGCATTTTTATAAAGAAGTTCCGTCGACCCCAAATTGCTTCTACCACCAGGCTTCTTCTCTATTTATACATTTGACAGCCTTTGTTTTCCGCGTAACTTTAACTTTCGCACTTTGCTTTTTGCTTTTGTTTCAAGCTTTCAATTATATTTTTTTCTTCTAAATGTTCCGTGTAGTTGTTTGCACACTATATTAATTAATTCTTGATGTCGTTGCCATGATGTTTGCATTTGATATTGGGTTCAATGCTTTCCATTCATTCAAAGGCAGTGCAAGCGGTACAATTTCAATGGGCGAGACTATTGTGTACGTCCCCTTCTGATATTGACCTCGGTAATATTGTGGGAAGCCTAACTCAAATATAGAATTTAAAAAGGGTTAGGTTTTGATTATTTGAGGACAATGGAATTAATGTGTGTTGAATGGAGAAAGTTAAACTTTATTGATTTAAAGCTAAAAGTAATTAAATACTAGAAATCTCTTTGGATTTAGATTGGTTGCTTGATTAGAAACACTGGCCCATAACGTATAAAATCAGTTAGAAAATATATTTTACTTTCTAGAAATGCAATTTTATGGCTATTGAGCCAGTATTTATTTTAAATATATATAATACATTATGAAACTTCAAAAATACTGTGATAAATGTTCACCGTATTGTCTCAAACTGTTTGTTGAAAAATATTTTCCAACCGGAGCAACGTAAAAAAACTTTTTAATGAGAGAGTTTTTTATAAAGTGTGAATGTTTGCAAAAATAGAAGCAGGCACGAAAAGTTTTTTAGCAACCCACCAACACCGTTGCCTTGCAAAGTCCGTGAACCTTTTGGCATAAATATATAGCGGGCTGAAGGGATGGGTTGTGTTGACGTGGCCTTTTGGGAAAACAAGCGTGAAATGCAATAAATAACAAGCTATTAATGCCAAGTGCTCATACACGCACCGAAACTTTATGCGGGGTCTGTGCAAAAAGCATTGCATACTTACGGGGAGCCAGGATACTACCATTGCAGTGGTAGGAGGGCGGAAAAGGCATATGCGTGTGCGATCAAAGGCCAAGGCCGTTGCAACACCAGCCAGTCGACTTAAATGTCATTGGGAAAAAGTTTATCCTCTCTCCTTGGTTTTGCACAATATTTCACTTTCATTCCGCAAAAAGTTGGCCAAGCTAATTAGGCCCACGAACAAAGCTAATCGACCCACCTGCACTCCCTGGCCTCAACTAAATCCGGCTCATTGCACACCTGGATCTTCTGTATGAGGCGGTAGAGGAAAGAGTTCTGGAAGGACTGCGGCAGGTAGTACGAGTAGCTCTGAAACATTGCACGTCGCAAGGCGTTCGCACGGCTGCAGGGTCCCAGGATGACTAAGGTTCGCTTCAGAGACTTCCCGTCTATTTATTTTATCGATACACGATTTCAAATGCAACGGACATCATGAATACTTTATACATGAAGTGACATTCCTTCTCAGACAGGTGCAAAAAACCGACCGGTTTCTGACGTGCCCCATGTCGACAGTACTTTTTCATTTTGTTTGAGATTTTTTTGGGTCAAAATTCGAGCGGCAGGGGAAAGCCAAAGGAACATGCAAATGAGTCAGGCGCATACTGCGAAAGGTGAGAGTTGCGACGAGGGCAAAAAGATTCTAGGCCCGGTTGAAGCAGAATTCGCCACATGCCAAACTGAGGCACACGAAATCAGTGGTTCAAGGAGGGACAGAGGGGGATTCAATTAAGTCAGGCAAGCAGGGCTCTTGCTGGGTTGAGATGCACTGTGGGAATGAGACCGACTGTCAAAAGCCATGAAAGCGCCCAGCAAAAGTTCCTCTAGTTGGGGAACATGAAATGTGGATCAAAAGCCTTCTCTTAAATTTGGATGCGTGTGGTCAATTTTAAAAGTCGGTTTTCCCTGCGCTGTAATCCCGATGCTTTGATCCTTTTATTTTCCAAATCAGCAGATACACACTGAATCACTTGTGAGTAAAACAAAACTTTCGAAGTCTTACATACTTAATTTTTAATTAACAGGCATCGAGAATAAAATAAAAGTTGCATACTCAATTGAATTATATTATTTTCCCATATGGGTTTTCCGATATTGCGCAGATATAATAAACATTTTTGAGTTTTATTATATTTATCAGAAAGTTTTATTTTTTTAAAGCGAAAACAATATTTATCCAAAATAATGGTTATTTTGTAAGATATAATATTTTGCTTAAGAATATCACTCAAAAT